CAAGTCCAATTTAAGTCGATCTTAGTCTTTGTGAAACACCCCCAGTTTTAAGAGGGGGCTTGAGGGGCTCAAACCCCATCCCCAAAAAGAATTATTCAAGCTCCCCCTCCCCCCCCCAAAAAAAAAAAAAATAAATATATACCTATATATTATTATGAACTGATTTTAAGCATGACATATATAAACATAAAATAATAAGATATTTCTATGCCGCAAATTGCATAATGCCTCGAAGTGGTTTAGAAGGAAAATAGTTGATAAGTAAGGTAACATGAATGCAAGAGTAACAAGCCTCTCCCCTCAACATTTACTACTGCATCTGGTATGAGCAATAGTTCTTTGCTTTCCATTTTATTGCTTGTTTTCATTTCTGCCTTTTTGAAAGTGATGGCACTTATTATGAATGCATTATTACTTGAAAGTGCTTTTGAAATTTCTTGTTTATTAATGATATACAGGATAACAAAATAAAGTACATAAAAGAAACCACTACCGAATGTTTTCTAAGTTTTGTGTTTTGTTTTATTTCTGTTCCAGATTTCCACCACCTTAAGATGGATGATTCAACTGCAGGTGAAAAAGGAGGGCAGCAGACCACAGCAGAGAATGAGCACAAACCCCCAGCGGGCGTTAACAACAACCGCCATTCAAGCGAGGTGGAGGACACGTTCACAATGAGGAAGATGATGAAGCAATCTACTGTAATGTTCCCAGCTAGTTTTGACTGGACGGGTGCAACATACCAAGAAATGTTATATTTATGAGCTGTACTGTAAAGAAGGAAGTTCCAATGTGACTAGGTCTTTTGCTGATGTTTTAGAAACAGTTTGGAAATCATGAAGCCTGACCACAAACGAAACAAAAAAATATATATACACAACACAAATATTAATATACAGGATTATATCTTACATATCTATCTTAAAAAGGGAAGTACCTTTTTAAACATAGAACTTGGATCAAAACTCTGTTTGTGTATTGTGATGTTTAAATTCAAATATTTATTCAAAGTATATTCAACATTCTTCATAAAAACATATAAAACAAATACAGAATGGAATGATAACAAAAGAACAAGATAGTGATAACAATTCCAATGGCAATTTATGAAAACATTTGGGATAAACAGAAAGGAGGGATACCTTGAAAAACGCCGTACTAGATTTGAGAGGCAGATTGACGAGATCATCTAGAGTGGGACAAATTTTCATTTTGAAGTGAAATGGACACACATACACACTCCGTATCTTGCCCCGTATCTCTCACATTAATTTCATCTCATCACATCTCAATTTCTTTTTGTTCTCTGCTGTATGCTACATCAAGGACGCAGATAAGAACACTCCAAAGCATATGTCAATATTCATTTAATCATTACTAATTCACATAATATTTTAATCTTGAATCTATCTCCTTATATTATCTCACGTTCTTTTGTCCTTTTCCTTCATCTCTCCTGTGCCCCCCCCCCGTAGCTACGTCACTGTTAACACGATTGTAAAAATTCAATAGGCTCGTACGTATATTACAATTTTTTCAATAATTTTTTCTTTCTTCTGTAGTTAAGACATAAAACATAAAAATTAATGAAAAGTGAAGAACGAGATTTTTCTACTATTTTTGACATGTTGGTGAAAAATAAAATCTTTGTAAGTGAGATTATAAAAGGGATACATTTATATGTACAAACAAACTGGTTGATTGAATGCTTGTTCACTATTAGCACCCTACTTTACATACTGACAAAAGTAACACCTTGTAAGAGGAAAAGTTGTTCTAAATAGTTGATAAACATTTCAACACCTAATTTGACTGCATTGAGGAATATACATTTTGCAGAAGTGTGTCTTAAAAATATCCCACAAAATAGGTATCAAGTGTTCATATATCATTTGATTCGGGAAAAAGCTTAGTCTTTAAAAAAAAAATTTAAAATACTATATATATATATATATATATATATATATTGTTAATTACATTTTCTCACCAAGAACACAGGATAGAACACAGGATATATAATAATAAACATGTGAGTTTGCTCAACGTAGTATATATAAAAACGATACAAAATCAATGACAATTTTACTGTGCAGACTATTTGTTAAACTGTGGCATTGTACTATCTACACCAAGCTTTGAAGATCAAGTATCAAAATGCGTACCGGTAAGGCCAAATAACAAAACTTACGTGTTTCTCGCCCCTCCAGCCTCCTTTTGTTTATTAATCATAATTATAGGCATTTCTATGGCGTCGTCTATCTATCTAGAAATTCTATTCCGAGGCGCATTCAATATTACCCCGGCTTTAGCCTAGCTGCCATTACAGCGCTCTAGCATTTCAAGGAATTCATTCCTGCCAGGTACCCATTTACCTCACATGGGTCGAGTGTGGCAAGTGAAGATTAATGCCTTGCCAAAGGACATTAGTGCCGTATCGGCGATCGAACCACGACCTTTGAATTTCAAGTCAAGTGCTTAAACCACTCGACTACGACATTTCCACTATATTTTGCATTAGTATACCATCCAGGCACATCCCTCCATTGAGACAGGGGTAACTCGCGCATTCAAGGGTCAATAGCACAATATATGTGAATAAATATACCTTGGCCAGCCATACTTAGCATTGCGGCCATCTTGGGGGGGGGGGGGGGAGCAAAAGCAAAAAATAGTAAATAGTAAAGCGCTGCCTCCTGCTTTTATTTAAAAAGTCCGGACGAGAAACTTGTTACTTTTGTTATCTTGGCCTAAATAGCTTTTTAAAACAAGAGTCTTATATCTTGAATACATTACCAAAAATATGACGAAATAATGAGTTTAATGAGTTAAAAACATGTGACGTGCACTACATTTTCTGTTGAAAAACGGAAGGTACAGTCGAACTTGTCTATAGCGACCGCCAAAGGGAAACACAAAAAAGTGGTCTTTGTGGACAGGTTCCTTTAGTACATGTTTCAATAAGTTACCATTTTCAAGGGAAACAAGAAGAGGTCTTTGTAGAGAGGCGGTCTTTGTAGACAGGTGGTCACTAAAGCAGGTTTGACTGTACATATATAGTTAGACTGTGAATAGGTTATTGGGACATCGTGATCAGTAATATGACTAATTATTGAAATATCGAGAACACATCATTTTATTGACCCTTTCTGAAGTGAAAAATTAAATAGATAAATTATATATATAGCAACGGAAACCTTATAAACGAAAGGTTACAATAATATCGATTGTATACTATTTTAGTGTCTGTCAGAGGATTAACAGCTCTCTGCAAAATCGAAATCTTAAGCTTTGAAAACGGCATTTGTCGACCTAGAAACTTGCTATTGACTTGGTGACATCATCTTATGTGGAGTGCGCATATTCACAATGACTTTACATTAATTAATCATCACTCATCACCTCAGAGCCGACCAGGGGGGGGGGGGGGGGGTTCACAAAGATCCTAAGTCGAACTTAACTCTAAGTTGGACTTAAACACTATGGAGAGCCATTTGTAGCCTTGAAATTTAATATAATCAAAATCAAAATTTCAAGTATTTTAGACTTTTCATAAATTCCACATTAAGCACATGAAATCTCCTTGATAATAGAAAATATAAATGATTTGAAACAGCATTTTATGCCTTTTAAAATATCTTTTACAAAATATTTTCAAAGATGCTAGCGGCTTTCCATAATTTTTAAGTCCAACTTAGAGATAAGTTCAACTTAGGATCTTTGTGAAACACCCCCGGGTCCACTTGTTACGCCGTCACCGTAACTAATGTCAAATTTGACCCCTGTTGACCCGTCATTTAGGAGCGGAAAATGAGGTTTAAATTTGCTTTTGTGCAATATTCACCATGACTTTACATTAATCAAGTATTACTCATCGTCTCAGCTATATAGGCGAGCCGATCAGGTCCACTTTGATATAAAGTTGTATTTTGAATTGAACATATTCACCACTTTCATAAAACATGCAAAGTCAAAGAATACAATAGAATATCTCTTACACAATTAATGATAACACAATAAAATATAAAATACACTAAAGCTAATTATAAAGTGGTTGGATCATCAAAAAGTTACAGAAACTCATAAGTAAATGATATTACACAAAATGCAAAAACTAACAAGTTAAAACTAAAAAAATAATAATAATACAATGGAATTTTTCACACATAAAATATCCTTGAGATTATGCTTAAAACCTGAACTACTGGTATTACATTTATAAATCTCTTTGTTCCTTTAAAAGATATTACAAACAAAATCTGGTAAAAGTTTATGACAATATGAATACATAAAGACACACAGTGGAAAATCGTGTAATAATGAAATCGGGAGATATTCAATTTCAAGAATAGAGGTCTGCTTGTACTTAAAAACGGCCAGTGACAAATTATACGAAATACTTTTTTTTTGACGGAGGAAAATACGATTAGTATAAATTATGTTCTTTAAAAAAAATATATATATAACGTTACAATGGGACAGTAAGGCAAGATTGGTTAGTGATAAAACATATTGGTTGACAAGATGTCTTTTGATTTTAGTAATCGTAGTTCCTAATGTTCTAGACACAATGCGTAAAACTTCATAGACGTGTGTTTTTAACTTCAGATCTACATCAACATATTTTTGTATAAGTCTTTTAAAACTATGTATTGATCAAGTAATTTGTATATACATCATGATATCAGTTATCATAAAGTTACTGCACAATAATTACAAAACTTAAAAACAGATGAAAAACGTCAAACAATACGGAAATAGTAGGTAACACTTCCTTATAAACAGTGTATATCGTAGGATATATATAATACCTAAGAACTTTGTTGTATTTGTATGTTTAATCAAATTTCCATTCCTATATATGTTTTTATTTCACTAGCACACGTCTTTAGAAAGTTAAAAAACATAACATGTTTGTTTTTTCATAGTTAAGTTGCAGTTTGTTTACAACTTTGCGTTAATCCACTCACTGAATTAAAAAAAGGTTCTTTAATTTACTGGGAAATAGTTTATTCGGTTACATGCATGTCGTTCTGAATGTTAAAAATTGATACCCCCTGTATCGTTTTCGGAATTATGAATCTTAGGAAGACAGAACCCCTGGAAAAATGAGTAACCCCAATTCTATTTGCATGTTACCGCAATGCAGAAAGTATAGTTCACAGGTTTGTTGGAGATTCTGAGAGATTTTTCCCGGCGAACTGTACCCGACCTTTGTACATCTGATCGTACATGTGAGCATAGCGATGCTCCTGTATACCCATATGGTCCCGGGCCGATACGTCCAGACCTAAAATATCAAAATCATCTCGACCGGTCAACCAGTACGTGTACATGGTGCCTTTACCCTGGAAGCAAAAGAAGAAAAAAATTACGTAACGAACAAATAGAACTGGGGAATAAGAAAAGGTTAAAGTGGCTCTAGCATCGGCCCACTTTTTAAGCGATACTGAACTGATGAACTTTCTGTCCTAGCGAACTGTTTATTGCACAGCTCCATCTCATCGTCAACTTGCCAACATATCGTAACCCAGTACCTAAATTCCACTTCGCAGACAGATACTCGGCGCAGCTAGGGAAGCAGCGAGTTACGAGACCATACTGCACATCCGACCTGAGATGGCACTAGAGGGAATTGTGTGGTATTACTTCTAGCACAGTATGACTTTAAACGGATTGACGCCCATGCATGGATGCTAACCCTCTAACACTTTACCCTCTACTTTGCTATTATTTCTAATATTGTACAAACGTCACGCGTGATACAATGTAAAACTAAATAACTATTGATGAAACTTGCTTCTTTTTATATTTTAACGGTATTGTCGGATAAACTGATATTACTGAGCGACAGTAAAAACATAAATACACATACGATAAATACATTTGAATTTATTTGTAAAGCTTTAACTCAAACATGATGATTATTCAGATGAATGAAATAGAGGTGAATATGGAGGGAGGGGAGGGGGGAAAAGGTTGACAAATCTCACCCTTATATCGATCTTGCCACGTTTGACAAAGCTGTATCCTCCCCATTCCAATAATCCCATGTATGTCTTGTGACTCACATGGATCTGTCCAGCTATATCACAACAAGATAATTATGTGAAAATAAAGTTAAAACATATACTGCAACTATTTCAGATGAAAATATATCGAAATATATCTATGTGTACGAATGCATGTATAAAGTTATATAATCAAAGGCAAAGACAACGAATTTTAGCTCTTAATCTTGACATTAGTAGGGGGATCGGTTTGAAGCACCACCACCAACGCCATCACAAATACTTACACCGTCACCACCGCCACCACCAACACCACGGCCACTACCACCACCAATATAGCTACTACCGCCATCCGGGGCCACGCCTCTACCACCACCACCGCCACCACCACCAATACCGCCACCACCACCACCTCCAATACCACCACCACCAATACCCCCACCACCGCCACCACCACCACCAATACCACCACCACCGCCACCACTGCCACAAACACCACCACCGCCGCCACCACCGCCACCACCACCACCCCCACCAATACCGCCACTAGGATTGATGTATCATGCCGTACATTACTTACGGAGTCCAGTAGTCTGCATCCTAGAAGCTGTGTTGACTGTGTCTCCAAAGAGACAATATCGAGGCATCTTCAAACCTACCACTCCAGCAACCAATGAGCCTGATGCAAAGAGAAATATGTTATTGCGATTAATTATGAAATTATTTATTTATTTATTTATTTATTTCTGATATTTATACCGAGTGGCATATATCACCAATTTGGTGGTCTTCCATGAGGCCCTATTTGGTAACAATAAAACAAATAACAGCACCAAAAACAAAAAACATAAATATAAATACACAAGCATATAAAGAGGTAAAATAAAAATTAATTGGTATCCTCATAAACTAACTGATCATTCAAGAATTATTCTTGACCATTTACAAGAAATATGTTAATGGAATTTTCAATCTAAATAGAAAATAAATTTAAAAAATAAAAATAAAATAAAGAATAGATTATAACCACGTAGGCCTATTTGAAAGAAAGAAAAAAAAATGATTGAAAACAAAAAATTTGGACGATAATGATTGACGAAGAAAAGTTGAAATGAAATTACTATTGCATAAAGTTTGTAATGGTGTTTTTGTTATAATGAGAGAAAGAATTAATTGCAGTAATATCTGATATGGTGATTTATGGTAAACGAGGAATTGCTGCAATGATACAACGATTGCATAAGCTTGAGTATTTGTTTCTAGTTCATCGTGACTGTACCATGGACCAGTGATGGCCTGGTGGTAGAGTCGCTGCCCGGCAAGCAGTAGATGGCAGGTTCATATCCCGCTGGTTCCAAGATTTTTTCTGACTTGTTTTTCAATTACAGATCGATCAATCGATCTTATTTACTGGGTGTAAGCCACAAATATGTTTAAACTATTGAAATTTCTCCCAGGAAGCATTACATTTATAAAAGATTGCATAATAATTGTTGTCACGTTGCATTAAAAAAAAGACCGTATAAACGCTTTAATGCACTAAGAATAGTCACAGACTTGGTTAATCTCATATTGAATAAAGTTATCTCGTGTTATTGTTTCTTATAAGGAGTTTTTGCTTGTTTGTTTTTGAATGTTTTGTCCTTGTAATTCTATACGGATGTAATAAAGTCATATTAGTAATTCCTATTTTGTTTTATAACTCATCATGTTTATGAAGTACTGGGCCCCGTTCCTAGAAACCGTCATAAGTCTAACTTCTTGACTATTCCATTGAAACGTGTGTTATAGAACTAACACGCGTTTCAATGGGATAGTCAAGAAGTTAGACTTATGACGATTTGTAGGAACGGACCCCAGGATATTTACAGGACATATTACACTACATCGATTTTGATAATAGATACGAAATATATATATTTTGTAATACTTTATGTGTAATTTTAGCCAAAGGAATATTATGGAAAAGATAAATAGAAGCTTTATTAAACTCAATTTTAGTGCGAATTTCCAGTCATATATATTTGCTAAAATCTCAGAATACAATATAATTATATTTCTTAATAATAACTATAACTATATGTTTTTGGTATAGCTTCTTCTTCTTCTTGTCTTGGCTTCCTCCATTTTGGAGAAATGCAGTTTGTGCAGGTGTTGGTAGTACACATATAAAAAGGATAGGTAGGTTTAAAGGTGGCATCACATATATGTAGTGGAACGTTTAACATGGAGGTCAAGTATGAAACTGAGAGAGAGATTGTGAAAGAGTGAGGGGTTGATCCAGTCGAATAATACATAGGCATAATTGCACGTATCTATGAGCTTTAAAACAAAGAATAAAGAAAGAGTGGAAACGGTGCATTGGGTTCATTATTGTGAGATCTTAGAAAGTGCTAAATGGATAAGTTTTCATATTATCTCCTGAACCTCTCGTAAAAAAGTTTGTTTTATATTTCTAGGGTATCCGACAAGGTATTCCATACATTGAGCCATTACCCATGTGTATTCCGAAGCGAACTCTGATCTTCATGTGAGGTTTGTGAGGAACCTCTAGGATGTTCACATGATGTCTGAGGTCAAGGGTCGCGGTGGCAATCTCACAAACATGTCGATCATAGCGCTCTGGAACACCTAGAATTTTTGTTAGAAGAAATGACAAGTTAAAACATCCAACACTATCAATGCAACATTTTGGGAGTTCATCATATTTAATCAGTCACTGTCTTCATTAAATGTTTATAATTATTACCATACAAGTGTACACAAACACATCAATCATCTCGCACCCCCCCTCCCTCACCCTTACACACCACACACACACACACACACACACGCACAAACACACAACAAACCAACGTTTTCATTCTTGATAAATTCACTAAATAAGAAGAGAAAAAGTGTTAATATGGAAAAAGAGAAGATAACATTATACTAACATTAATTCGTTCCTTCAAGTCCTTCTATTGTAGATGCGCAGTATTTCGTGACACTGGATGTTGTATCATACTTTTCCCCATTTTGTAGATTTATTCCTAACTAATCTCGTTATCACTATCACTCCCATCACCACCACCATCGCCATCATCACCAACAGCACTTTCGTCATCCTCACCATTTTAATCATCATCGTCTCCATCCTTCTCCTACCCCTCCTCCTCCTCATCCTCCTCCTCCTCCTCCTCCTCCTCCTCCTCCTCCTCCTCCTCCTCATCCTCATCCTCCTCCTCCTCCTCCTCCTCCTCATCCTCATCCTCCTCCTCCTCCTCCTCCTCATCCTCATCCTCCTCAACATCATCATTCTTCTCAATATCACCATCGTCATCAAAACCCTCCAACAAACAATATAACAAATATTATACCACTTTTTAGGCCTCTATACTAACCTGATGCGAGCATGTACGTTTCGTTGACGGTTTCAACTTTGTATACATCGTAGAGTTCAATTCGAGAATCAAATAGCAAATATAATCCATTCAGCATTTCGACAACCTGTACATAAAACATAGATAGAGTTTAAAGGAGTCCCTGCTGTATACATGTACCATTGTGGTTCCTCGAAAAATATTAGAATAGGAAACGTATCTCATGTAAGACGTAAACACAGCTCCATCATAATCATTCCACGTCCCGATAATGCCCCGTCCATTCGGACCAAACATTGTTTTCTTTTTAAAAAATGCATCAATTTCATAAATATCCTATGGTGATAAGGCTTTGTATAATGTGGATTAACATAATAAAGTCTACACAATAATGATATAATTGATTTTGATTTTAACCAATGAAAGAATAAGGACCGTAGAGTCATAATCTGCTGGGCGCATGCAGTATGCCCCTTTTTCCTTCATGAAAAGAATCGGCCCCAGAATCGGCACACCTGTCGGCAAATTGGTACCACCCCCCCCCCCCCCTTCATCCACCCATCCCCCCCCCCGCCCATTTAAAAGAGGTCAGTCGTGTCCAATTGTTTTACCTCCATCGGAGCACTTAGTCCACAGAGCCGACTGAACCCGGCGATGTCGGCAAACATGACTGAGGCGGACTCGTAGAGTTCACCGTTCACGCCTTCCGTGTTCATCAACCGTAGCGCCACCGACGGCGGCAACATCGCATTGAGGAGGTAGGTTGATCGCTTCTTCTCCTTGTTCAACTCCTACACGATGACGGACATGTAAGCGACAACGACTTAGGAATTATTGTTTATGGCTGATATTCTGTCCTATTTCGTCCAGAACAAATATAGAACGCCTTGTCCAGTCTGGATTTTATACCCTTTTACAAAAGTAGCTTTTGCTCACTCAAGCATTAAAGAAAAATAATAATCAAGATGTACTTAATGCCAGTTAATAGATAAAACCTTTCGCTATCCGCAGGTGTAACAACTTTTTGATAACATTGTAAAATCTTTATTCCGGGGGATTTTTTTTCTGAAAAGCTTGCTTTTTTAGACGCACTGAAAATAAAAAGTATCAATTTGATAAGCATACCTTAGATTAATTCATCATCAAATAATAAAGATAATAATGCATCGAAACGTGAGGAAAAGGAAACACGACATCGTTCTTTTGGAGGAAAACTAATTACAGCTGCGAAAGTGAGATATTGAAGCTAGGCCAAAGTAGAGGCCACTTGCTTGCCCAACATATAGCTCAGAAAAACCGTAACATTTCATAAAAACAAGGTATTCCATAAAAGCGAGAGTTTTAAGGATATTAACAAGAGACCTATGAATCACTACCTTGGTCTGTGCGGCCAGTGTCAGGGCGTAGTTCTGTAATACCGTGGTCAACGACCAGATGGCACGGAGGGTGAGTGGGCATATGATGATGACGACTAGGACAAGGAAGATGCTGACGGCGATGTTTTCCGTGTCATCTTCGAGTTCCTTCTCGAGCCGATCCAGGATCTCATCGGCCATGTCCTTTTGGACCTTCTCGAGGATGTCGATGTAGACCTGGACGAGAGAGAATCGGGCGGATTCTTTAAAGTCTATCTGCACTAGTTTAGCCAGGAGGGATTAGACCTCCCTGTATGGTCACTGACAGGTGGTTATCTTATCAAATCAGCTCTCAATTAACATAAGAAAAGTTGACCATAGGGGACCGGTCACCGATTAGGCATTGTTTGCTATATAGAGGGCGCAAGTAGCTGTAATTAGTGCAATGGGGCTTTAAAGTATTCAACTTTCTCGATGGAAAGAGTAAATGAATGGTGAAATCATGTAATAGCTTTTAGCGCAATCGCCAAGAGCACATCTGCAGTGTAGAATCGTGGCGCTATAAGCATGATAACAGAAGCAGTCATCGGCATCATCATCAGCATCACCATCAACCAATGATTGTCACCATTAACATTATCGACATCATCATTATTATAACTATCAAAAATATAATAATAGTAATAAATAATAATACATGAGATTTATATAGCGCCATTATCCATTTTAATTAAATGCTCAGGGCGCTTCAAAATATTAGGGAACACATTACATCATGACAAAGAATCGTGTACATTTACATAAAAACGAAAAATGCAAAAATGTAAGATAGGTGTAATGTGACTATGTTTACTTGACAGAGAAAATGCGTGCAGCTGCGTTTTGTAGTTTTTGTAACCGTGCAAATTGTGAATTTAGTAAATTATAGAGTAGACTGTTGCCGAAATCCAGACGTGAAGAAATAAGTGAGTGAACAATCTTCTCTGTTGCCGAACGAGTCAGATATTTCCGTATGAAGCCAATATTGCGCAATTGATAGCAAAATGATCTGGAAATGCTGGTGATTTGTTTAGACATAGACATTTGAGAATCAAGAATGACGCCAACGCCAAGATCACGACATGAATTTGAATAAGGGAATGGTTTTACCGGAAATAGAAATGGAGTCTATATTTAATTTATTCAACTGAGATTTTGAGCCGAAAAGAATAAATTCGCATTTACTATAATCATCTTCATCTTCTTTTTTTCTTCTTTGTCTCCTCCTTCATCATCTTTTTCTTCTTCTCCTTCTTCTTCATCGACTTTATCTTCACATCATCATCACTATCACATCCTCCTCATTCTCCTCCTCCTCATCACCACATGACAAACATCGGCACAATTTTGTGTAAGTTGATTAGGTTAATCAACTAATCAAGGGAAATGACAAGCAACGAAAAGGAAGATGAAGAAGAAGAAGAAGAAGCAGGAGAAGAAGAGGAGGAGGAAGAGAAGGAAGAAAAATATGTTAATTAGAGGGGAATGTGCCACTGGCCAGAGCCATCTATACACAGAGTTTTGCCAACATGGTTTCACTGGGTCACAACATGGCGTATATTCATGTCGCCATATTGTGTCCATCTTGAATAATTAATGGCATTGCCACCGGCCCTCGATCCCCTCGCCCCCCCCCCTGTGCCACTTCGCATTTTCCGGTAAGCCTACACAAAACACGATGAAACAAACAAACAAACAATAATATTAATGGACGAACAATCAAACAAACAAACCAGGACACACAACATACCGTCATACTGTCAAACCAAAGCGTTGCTTTTTCGAAGTTGGGTTGGGTGCTCTCAACAGAATTCTCCAGAATTTCCTTACTCATGTCGAGAATGATGTGCGTAAAATTAGCAAAGTTTGCAATGTTTTCCCTCTATAATTATGAATGAAAAAGATGAAAAGAAGCTCTCAAAAACGGTGATTTTTTATTTATTCATATTTATAGCGAAAAGTGAAAATAATCTGGATACCAAATGTGTATGCCTAAATGAGAAGCGTTGGTAAATACAGATGACTTGGTTAGTCATGCAAGATATTAATTGTATCTGGCAAAATCATTTTTTTCACAATTTAAAAATGGTAATCGTGCCCCTTTCACTTTTCTGTTTTTACCCCTTTCTCTGACTAAACATTAGTCAATTGCAACATTATTAAGCGTCGATGATCAGATCAAAAAGCAACCCCTCTCCTCAAAAAGATGCTTTCTACAGATCTAAATTAAAGGTCTTATCAAAGCTATTAGATAATAAGAAGTGGAGGACACTGACGTATCTATGCGGTTCAGGTAATGTGAAAGCGATTCTTACATTTGCTTTTAATGAAAAAAGGTACAGAAGTTCAAATTAACTATTCTAAATGATTTGAAATGGATACCTGCTTTTCGTAGAATTGCTGGATGAGTGGTGTGTAGCGCTTAGATGCCGCAAAGTTCCACGATCCCACGTTATATTTTTCCATGTACCACACGTAGTCCTTATGCCTCTCAAAGCCACCGAGTGTGTAAAATATAGCACCTGTTTCAAGATAGATGTGCGAATCGTTTAGCCCGACCACCAAGTAAAACAAAAACTCATGTTGCTGCCGAATATCGTCATGATTTGGGCAGCATGGCGCCTGAGTATAACCTTATTTATTGTACTTTTATATCGAAATGAAATTTATACCACAACAAAGTGTCTTTTTTCCCTATTTTGTTTCACTTCTAGCAAAATTGATAGATTGATATACTGTCAACGAGATGACTGAATATATAATTTTTAGAGATTAGTTATTCGGTCGTCTCTTTCTATCATTCCTAATGAACGCTTATCAAACATTAAAGGCAGTGTTTAACAATGTTTCCAGTTTTACAAATCTGAGATGCATGGCCTACGTGTTCACTGTCTGTGATATGGTGTAATATTGAAGCCCTACAAAAAATGCGCTTCAAAATGTACCTCAAAAAAGTAAAAAATCTTTGAGTTTTTGGTTTCTACCATACCCGATTTTCCAAATAGACTGTAGTGTTATAACGGTTTTTGAAATTTCGAATTCCAATCATAAATATCTTGATAATCAGACTTCGACATCGGCTTTTAAAAGTCATGATTTGCAGCATGAGCTAAATCCAGGATTTTGTTTAGAATCTGAGACAATGATACCCAATCCCTTTAAGACTTTTATGTCCTCCTATTTTCTTTACTCCCCATATTCTCAGTAGTGGTTAGAGTAGGAGCTTTGGAAGCTCAGCACCCCAAAACAATTCTTCGTCCGATTCTTTTTCTTCTTCTTTATTTTACCAGAATATAAGCGAGACACGCGTCGAAAATAAATGTACCAACCCCAAAAGCCCTCATAAACTTTTAGAACTGCGCCTGCATAGTTTCATTTTTTATCATTTATATTTCACTCTTCTCTCTCCTTTACAAATCTTATATTTGACTTCTTTCTCTCTCTCTCTCTCTCTCTCTCTCTCTCCTTTTTCACATCTAACCCGTCCTTCCTTTCACATTACTGTTTCATATTTGTCTTTATCCAAAACTGCTTCCCTCTTAATTCTCCAAATTTGTCTTACTTATTTCGTCTCCTTCATTATTTTGCACAGTCCGTTTTCTCATTCCATTTCCAACTTCCTCCATTGGTTATCATTTTTACCGCCCCATCTTCCAACGTCCGATTCCTCTTCCCCTCTTCATCTCTTTTCCTATTCAACATCCCTCTCCTCAAGCTGCTCTAATTCTCCCCTCTCAACATCTCCATTTATCGTCATCTTCCTCCTCTCTGCTTAGCATTCACCCATTTCTAATCGATCTCTATTCTGGACCAAAAGCCATTTTGATTATCTTGTTTAAAACCAACATCTCTGAAACATCAACATTTTGTTGAAACAAAAAAGCATTGTCTGTAAAATGTCCCAAATGCGGAATGGTATCTAATTGAACAACGAAAAAAGCAATCTTCAACTTCTCCCACGAACAAACATCAGACATCAAAATAGCCCGACAAAAGCCAGGGGGCCTATTTTCTCTCAGAGTTCACTCCCTTCGGGCTACAGCAGACGTTACAAATACAGACCCACAATTATATTCAAAATTTTACATTAAGCTTTCTCGACGTCATCGCTCACCGAGTGTCCTCTCGATGCCCGTATCGACGTTGCTGACGATGAGGAGCTGGTAGGCGACCAGTATTTGCCATGAGCCGTGCCCCTGCGAATTGCCGACACTTTCATAGAGCCAGTCGATGAAAATCTGCAACATGTCGGTGTAGAAATCGATCTCTCTATACACGGTGGTGTTCGAATGGTGTAGACGCTGACGGTGCTGCTCAAGATTCTCCTTGAAGTCATTCTTCTCACGAAAGAATGGTAGCTCCTGTCACAAACATCAGTTTTTAAAAGTATTATTTTCAAACAACTATATTTTCACCTTGCGAACGTAAACATAACAATCATTATAATAAGAATGATGATAATGGATTCTTGTATAACGCTCATGTCTGTTAGATATGACACTCCTAGCGCTCCCGATTATTACCTCGGCTTTAGCACGGGTGCCATTATGGCCTCTAACATTTCAAACAATTAATTCCTGCCAGGTACCCATTTTAATAGCTCACCTGGGTGGAGTGTGGCAAATGCAGAGTAATGTCTTGCCAAAGGACATTTGTACCTTTCTCCGTTTAAAGGTAATACAAAGTTTTGGTATGGGGTCATGAATTTGGTTCAATTGAACATATTGAAAGCATATGCGATTTTACAATATTCAATTATCGTTGTCGCGGTTAAAATCAAGTCTAAAGTGATAAAATTGTAAAAAAAGAAACTCTTTATGTTGTTTAGCTCCCTCTCAAGACTGAAATTACTTTAGCTTTAAAACAATATTTCTTGACTACAATCGATCGATTTGCTACTCTCGTTTGGAAACTATATATCAGAACTTCATATTCTGAGATTTTCATGGCCGCAGCTATATGGAATGGCCTTATAGACGCTACTTGAAATATTTGAAGTTTACCGGGAGCACCGGTATTTTTTTTTTAAAGTGGTATGGGGCTTAGGGGCTAAATTTTCTGGTCCTTACAAAACATCCACAGGGGCATCCAGATATATCAAAACTGTAAAAAATTACTATCCATCCAATTTTCAAAATTTCTCAAAACTGTGCAATACCAGAGGTTTTTAATGTGCATTAAACAACTTTAACAAGCGAAGTTCTGTTTTTTGTTGTTGCGAAAGTTGTCTTTATCATCCATGCTTACGTTCAGAATACTGGTTTCGACGGGCCATTCCTGGAGCTCGTCGAGGGCCCTGTCAGTCAGCGGGTAGGTCTCGGTCAGGAAAGCCTTGCTGTTCGGTGCGATCACGCTCACGTACAGGGCTGTCATGTCACGTTCCCTCTGCAGGCGGCTCAGCAGGAGCCCGATGTTACGACTGAAACTGATTACGTTGCGGATCTCGATGTCGACGCTGTGATGAGAGAGAGAGAGAGAGGGAGAGAGAGAGAGAGAGAGAGAGAAAGAGAGAGAATGAATGAAGAAGAAAACAATCAGAGAGGGGCATTTATCTCTTGAAATTAGCGCTAAATTAGAAAGCGGGTTATCAGCCCACCCACAACTTTTACTCCCCCCCCCCCCAAAAAAAAAAAAAATTATGCTAGGCTCAATTCAGAAAAAAGAATGCAAGAACCGCCAAGACCGCTAAAGTCCCCACCCCTTCCATTATTCTTCTAGAACGGTGCGGCCGGTGCCTGCAAAAATAGTAGGCCCTACCCATGCAAAATATTTTTTAATCACACAATGTAACACCCCCTTCTCTTACTCTTTTTTATTATAGAGTACCGAAGCTGTGTCATCATAAAAATAATTGTTTTGGAATTTCTCAATTTTTTCTTCATTTTCCGAAAGAGCATCAAAAATAATGTTCAAATGTCGTAAACCAATTGAATAGGTAAGTATTGGCTGAGATATGACCATCTGAATAAATATATTTCCTATAGGAACTCAGTGTTATATTGCTCTGGCTCGTAATGTTGTATAGGGCAAAACAACATCTATTTTTAGGCCTTATATAGGCTAAAACATAAACGAGTGTTTTTCATACCGGTGTTCAATAGTGCAAATATTTCCATTCGTTAAAGTTCATTATTTGTATAATATGCCACTCACATTATTGTAACGTCCCTGGATCAGATTTTTTTTCTTTCTCAAGGGATATTTCAACCAATTCGTCCTTGTTTTCACGAAGTGACGGTAGTGAGGAAAATCGTAACGCAAAGTGAATGCAATTTTTTTTCACTACCGTCACTTCGTGAAAACAGCGACGAATTATTCTAGTTAATATTCCATCTTTCCAAGAATTACTACATTGAAATGGTTGTCATGTACCCAATTCAAATCCCCATTTAAATTTTTCAACACGGTATACTAACATATTCAATATCATGGAAGTACCGATTGGCATAATAAAAAAGCATATGAACGTGTCGTCGATGTAGGCACTCGTGACAAAAGAAAGGTTAAAGGCGACATTAAGGCCTACTTATTAGCGAAGGGGAGGGGGGCAGTTACCCCCCTTTGAGTTGTGGAATAATTCCGTATGCTTAGGCTTATATGCAGCATTTTTCTTAAAATCATGGCGTTCGCCCGTCGCTGCTGGATGCAAGATTCAGAACAAAATATTCCTCAAGTACATAAATGTAATTGCTCGCAACCAGGCGCGTACGCAGGGGGGGGGGGGGTTAAACGACCCCCTTGAGTATTTTTAATGTGTATGTTTTTCGGGGACCCCCCCCCCCCCTTTTGAGTGTTTTTTTTTTTCTTTCTTAAAAAAAAAAAAAAAATCATAATGGATGACCTAAAAAAGATGACCTTACCCCCTACCGGCAACGGAACAGGATGTCGATCGGTCAAATTTCCAAACGTCAGGACCTATGTACTCTTATTCCCCCCCCCCCCCGCCCTCTCCCGCTTATTCAGCGGCTGGCTGAGTCGTTGCGATTTCGAAATTTTGGGCCCGATTTCAAAATGTTAAACCCCCCCCCCTTTGAAAAAAATCCTGCGTATGCCACTGCTCACAACCCCTCCCCCCTCCCCCTCAATACAAATAAAGGAGTGCATATAATCTTTGATTTGTGTATTGCATATGCCAGGTGGGTTTCACATGGCACGGAACCGTTGTCCCCTTATTACTCCCCAGGGGGTGGAAATTGTGTTGCGGGTAAGCCTCAATCCGATGACCGGGGTAAAAATATGTGCTGCGCCTATAGAAAAAAAGTATTAGGTGCATTATAACGTGAGCTATTATTATTATCATTATTATTATTATTATTATTATTATTATTATTATTATCATTATAATTACACCAGTGCTTCTGAAGAGGGATTGAACCCCTTTCTTAAATGTTTTGTTTGCTCCCAGAGCGTTATAATGACGGGAGAATGATTTAATATGCATTATCCGAGCAATATCAGTCAGTGAACGACAACGCTCATAACATCGTGAGATTTGCTACATGAACCTGAAACCAAGAGAAGCACTACAAGAGAATACTGATGATGAAGAAGGAATTGAAAACATACAATGTTTAAAGGGACTTGGTAACATTGTTCAGATGAGAGAAAATGGTGCTAAGGTATGCTAGATTTACAATTAAAGATAACCTGAAAGTTTGAGTGAAAACAGACCATTATTAATGATACAAATTGGAAAGAACTGATCTGATCGATTCCTTAATAATTCCCCCAACTATATTCTTACAATTTAATTAGCCTACATTTTAGGTGAGTGAAAATCGTCACAAAGCAATGAATCGGATCTATATACAATTCCAAATATTCAAGGTTAAAAGATTTTTAAAATCCTGTCATTTGTCTTGTTTTCATGGAAAAACGGTTAGGAAAATTCAAAAATGGTTGGGAGAAATTACTGATAGAGGGTGTCGCACCATAAATATATTTGTGGTTTGAGAATTTTTGAGGATTTGTTTGCATGTTAGAGGGTTAGTACAGTAAAAGGAATATAATAAGTAACATTTCATTAAAAAAAATACGCGTTTTTTTCATCAACCTTCAACAATGTTACTGAGTCACTTTAAGCCCAGTGTAATTATCTGAGCGGTGTCGGAGATATGTATACTAATATATAATATATATATATATAATATAAAAATTATCTGGATTTTTATAGCGCTTAATATGAATTACAGTCTTTAACCGCTATATATATATATATATATATTATAACCCCGGTCATCAGATTCATTCACGCACAATGTGCACCATCTCCACTCCATCAGGAGTATTCCTATCATTTGGTCAACGTAAGGGCATAGGCAACTACTAACACAAATGCTTTCGTCATCATACCGGGTCCCCATTTCTCTCTTGGGTGGTGAGTGGCAAATGTAGATTAATGTCATGCCAAATGACATTAGTGCCGTGTCGGGGATCGAACCACGACCTTTGAATTTCAAGACAAGCGCTTAAACCACTAGAATACTAGAGGATTATGTTATAGTTTGATCTTAATTAAGGGTATTTTCTTTTATCTTATTTATTTACAGACCGTGATCATTGTTGAAGTCTACTGATCGACTGACACAAATAGCCAGATCTTATTTAAATACAACACTTCTACGTAGTTGTACATCTACATGCAGTCTTTCACCAGAATCGTATTTTATTCAGCGTAGCTGTGTATTGGACGTGCTGCTAATTTTTCAATATTGCTGGTAATGAGATATATATATATATATATTGGATATTGATTTTGAGGCATTCCGATGAAATGTTCCTAAATACTGCACATGTCATACTCTCAGTCAGCAATTTCTTGCACTGACCGAATTCTTAAAGGTATTAGGTAACTTTGCCTCTGATTCTATACAAAATTCTGGATTCAGCTCATGCTGCAATCATAAATTAATCATTAATCTCAGGTCAGAAATGAATTCCATTTACTTTTGCAAGCCAATCGCACGTTTGATTATCAAATTATTCATGGATTGGAATTCGAAATGTCAAAAAAAAAAAAGTTTTCCCAACAGTTTTTAAAACACAACAGCCTATTGCGAAAATGAGTATGATAAAACGGGTCACTCAAAGAATTTTAGTTATTTGAAGCACTTTATGATCATTTGGAAGCGCATTTTTTTTAGGGCTTCGATATTATACCATGTCAGACAATGGTAACACGTAGAGTCATGCATCTCATATTTGTGAAACTGGAAACATTGTTGAACGGTGCCTTTAATTTCAACCCCGGAACAACCACTATATAGCCTATGACCAAAACCTATAAACCTAACCCCAACCCCTTTCCTCTGACGAAATAAAACCTGAAGTAACTGGGCGTTGTGGTGTGCGCATGTACAGGGGCGGATCTGCGGTTTAATCCCCCCTCCCTTGGGCGGCCAAGTGAAAAAAAGGAAAAAAAGGGGGAAAAGGGAAAAAATGAAAACGGCTCGATTTTTGGAATAGCTAGATCCGCCCCTGCTGTAATCCAGCTAACAATGGAAGTTACAAACTGATTCAGCTGAGGACGCAGGCTCGAAACTTAGTCACCTCTTTCGAATGGTGACGTTTAAAGGTCGGTCCCAAGACGTAAATAATCATAACTGATTGATACACGTCTGTAAAAGCCTAATACTACACCAAGTGAATGCGGGATAACCGTTGTATCAAGAGTTTTGTTATTGTCTTATCCGTGTCCTTGCATTTCCTTGTTCTTGTCTTGATTCTTCGTCGTTCCGCCTGACGTCATCGTGTTTCAATTATCTACTTATCAGCTTACGGCTATACGCAACTACTAAAATTTAGAGCATAGTCCTCTATCCGCACATGTACTGCTCTACTGTGTTTTTCTTATGCCTATGAAGGCTCACACTATCGAGCAGTGCATGTGCGTATTTTCTTTCTTCTTTAAAGTGACTCGGTAACATTGTTGAAGGTTGATGAAAAAACTCCTTCATTTTGGTATGAAATGTTACTTATTATATCCCTTATACTCTACAACCCTCTAACGTGCAAAAAAAAACCTGAAAAATTCTCAAACAACAAAGATATTTATGGTTTACTTTGAAGGCGTCACTGTGCGACACCCTCTAACATTAAATTCTCCGCACAATTTTTGAATTTTCCCAACCGTTTTTCCTTTAAAAAAATAAAAGAGACAGGCTTTAAAAACTCTTTCAACAATTAAATGTCTGGAATAGTATCAAGAGCAAATTGCATATACTTTGTGACGATTTACATTCACCTAAAATGTAATTAAATTGTAATAATATAGTTGGGAGAATTAAGAAATCGATCAGGTAAGTTTTTCCCGATTTTTATCATTAAATGGTCTATTTTCACTCAAACTTTCAGATTATCTTTAATTGTACATCTAGCATTGGAGTCACTACCTTAGCATCATTTTTTCTCATCTGATCATTAATACCAAGTCCAGTAAGTAATCCAAACAAAAACAAGCTCTGCTTTCCCAGTGGATTTCTCAAGTTTCTTTAAATTCCGACTTAATTTATAAAAATGTATGATTATATATTTTGTATCCTAAAATGCTTTGACTACTTTATATCTACATTCAATATTACGATTAACAATGAATTTCCTTTCCTAGGTTATATCACAAGTGTTATTTGATATCAATTTTATGTGAAATTTGTTAGCATGTTTTGATTGAGATATGGAAATAAAATGAAATTAATTTTATATTATCTTATTTTATTGGTACTTCTACATCTGCTGTAGATCATAAGATACAAATCCTCACCCTTTGAGGGCGTTGTGGTGTTAGCCTGTAATCCAGCTAACAGTGGAAGTTACAAACTGATTCAGCGTACGCGAGGACGCAGGTTCGAAACTGAGTCACGTCTTTCGGATGATGACGTTTAAATGTCGCTAACCAGACTTAAATAACCATATCTGATTTATACACGTCTGTAAGAAACCCAAAACACGCACACACTTGGTAGATACAAGAACGAAGCCATTTAGAATGCCTAAAAATAGTGATATAATTCAAATGGCTTAACTTACGAAGCAGAGTATAGGACACAACAAAGGCAGTTGTATTGAGTTTCACATCTACCATAGATAATAAAAACACTTGTTTTTCTCAAATACAACGCTAAAATTATTGTGATAACCACAGTGATCATGAGAATAAGCTGGGGTGGGTGGAAAATGATTTCACTATTGAACAACATGCGACAAGCCCTCCCCCTCCCAAAATAAGTTATAACATTTACTGGGGAGGAAGGGCACAACACAGGGAGATGTGAGTTGGTCTAGCGGCACGTTCTCTTGGTCAGCTCTTTGTCTTCATCTTCAAACTGGCTCCGGCGACCCCGGTTCGTAACTGATCGAGTCACGCCTTTCGGATGGTGACGTTAATAATCTTATCTGATTGATACACGTCTGTAAAAACCCAATTACACACACAACTAAAACGTCCTAAGTTTGAAAACATTCGATTAGCATCCCACAAAACCACCGAAACATCACAGGGTGTGATAATGGTGTTCGAGCTCAACATTGGTAATTTGGCCAGGATGATCAAATTTAATTTTTTAGTATTTTTTTTAAAGAGTGCATTTCCCTCTATGGAATTTCAAAATTTAGAAGCATCGCGTAATCTAAAATTGGTTTCTCGGGCAGTGTTTTGTAGACCTATATGTTTGTCTGATGTTGAGTTTTTTTGTAGAAGTTTTCATTTCTTTATGACCCGTGTCTCAATTTGATCTCACATAACTTTAAAATAAAGTAAGCTATTGCATTAACACACTGCAGGGAGCTTGCAGATCCCAGCCCCCACCTCACGTTTTACACCTAATGTCAATACCTTATGATCGGAACGTGATGGAAACGGTGACATCATTTAATTATGATGATAGTGATGGTGACGACGACTATGACGATGAAATACTCGAATGTACAGCAGTAAAGGTTCTGCGATCAAAATAAGGAAGACGGTGGTGCTGATAATAATGATGGTGATGGTGATACAATTTTATTCATAAGAATTATAATGATGATGGTGATAAAGTTTATTTTTTTAAGAATGTTAATGATGATGATGATGGCGATATATTTTATTTTTTATTAGAATTATAATGATAAGGATGGTGATGATGATGATGACGATGAAGGTGACACAGTTTATTTGTATAGAACTATAATGATGTTAATGGTGATTATGATAATAATGATGATGATTGTGATGATGATGATGATGGTTAAAATGATGATGATGATGATGATGATGACGAGGAAAATGATGATGGTGAATATTATGATGATGATGATGGAGAAAATTTTGATGATGGTGATGATGATTGTGATGATGGTGAAGATGATAAGATGATGGTGATGATGATGGTGAAAATTTTGATGATGATGATGATGATGGTGATGATGGTGATGGTGATGGTGATGATGATGATGATGATGGTGATGATGATGGTGATGATGATAGTGAAGATGATGATGGTGATGGTGATGATGATGGTGAAAATTTTGATAATGATGATGATGATGATGATGATGGTGGTGATGATGATGTGGAAGATGATGATGATGATGATGATGATGATGCTGGTGAAGATGATGATGGTAGTGATGATGGTGAAGATGATAAGATGATGGTGATGATAATGGTGAACATGATGATGATGCTGGTGAAAATGATGATGATGATGATGATGATGATGATGGTGATGATGCTGAAAATGGTGATGATGATGATGATGGTGATGTGGTGATGTGGTGATGTTAGAGGTAATGATGATAATAATTAAGACGATTAAAGTCATGGTAATGTTATTGATAATGAAAAGAAGAACATTAACAATATTGCTCACCTGTTATTGTAAGCAATACTGTTTAGATCCAGGACAACTAGTATGGCTAGCGCTGTAATCGGGACCAGGATCAGTAGAAGCATCTTGCCCAGCTGGATCTGTTTACCGAAGTGTGTCAGTGGGTTCACCTGGCATTTGCTGATGTCGTTAGGTCTTAGCAACAGGTTTCTGACGACATCGTCGACCTACGGGAGAAGGGAGGGGGTGGATATGATACGATCAATGGCATATCTTGCAAAAGTAGAACAATGGCGTAACGACGGGGGTCATGGTACATACGACTTTTTTAAATTGAATCACGAAATGGGGGGGGGGGAGAGGGGGGCAGGAGAGAGGCAGTAGGAGAGACAGAGAGAGAAAGAGAGCGAGACAGAGAGAGAGAGAGAGAGAGAGATAGAGAGAGATAGAGAAAGAAAGCCGAGAGAGAGAGAGAGAGAGAGAGAGAGGAGGAGGAGGGGGTGGGGGGAGAAAGGATCACAAAGACTTTCGAAAAGGCAATCTGAAGGCAAAATTCAATAGCCTAGTCCATCACCTACTGAAATGAAAGAACATTTCCATGACGTATCACATACTCTTAGCTCTTTTTCACCTTTCATCTTCCTCTTCTGATAGTATTCTATATATTTACATCGTTCTATATACCCCCTCTCTCTCTCTCTCTCTCTCTCTCTCTCCTCAGTTATCTCTCTCTGCACTTTTATCTCTCCTTATTTATCTCTGAGGTATCAAGTTTGTTTAGGCATACTGATGAATTCTTTGTATTTTTCGTGTTTTCGGTTTGTTCATACTTAATTTTGTTTTAACATTCTATTTTTACAATATTATTATTTAAACATGTGTGTGGCTTACACCCAGTAATAAAAGATCGATTGATCGATCTGTAATTTAAAACAAGCTCTCCTGATTTACTGGGTGTAAGCCCCTGTAAGCCACAAAATATGTTTAAACAATTTAAACTTCTCCCAGGAAGCATTGTATTGTTTTCTATTAATTATATTAATGAAAGTGAAAATGAAAATTAATAAGAGTGAACAATAATGTAAAGACTTAGTGAAAATAATAATTACATGAATTAGGACTTACCGCAGAAAGCGACCCGAAGGAAATTCTCCTATGTTCTGTTTCCAAAGCGTCAATATTTTTATTGTTCCGAGCTGTGACCGCCATTTTACTTTCGGTTTATCATCCAACTCCCACAGAAAGATTTCGTTGAATTATCAGCCACTAGTCAATATATATTTCCAAGTGCATGTGTTATGTAATCTCGTGCTTTTCGTTTACGAACATTCTCGTTTAACCGGAGAAACAAGACCACTCAAAAGACAGAAAGATAATTTATTGATCCCAACATTTTGGTAATTCGATATCAAGATACGCAACATTGAAGGAGCAAACGCATTGAACCGACGAGAGATAATTTTAGTTTAAGCAGCAGACAATCTTTTCCTACGAGATGGCACACCTTTTCTCTTTTTTTTTCCAGTATTACTTTAAGGTTTCGCAGATGGTTCAAGAAAAACATCGCTCTACTCTACGTGCAGACTTGTAGGCGAACTTGCTCTAGCTAATTAGATGTCGATTCTGAATGTGTTTACACAATGGCATATTATACACCGTTGTATTTAGAACAGCAACCTCTGTAATTAGTCAATTTCATTTTCATTCACAGCACTACTCTTGATATTTCATGTTCATCACAAACGTTTTTTCTCACTTTTCTTCATCTTTTGTGTTGTTTTATTGACTTTTTTTTCTGCTTCGTATGCAACCCTAACTATTTGGTTTCATTATTTATCTTCTCTCATTTTGTATTTTGATCTTCTTAATGTTAACCCAACCCTAACCCAAATACTCACCCTCTGGGTGGTATTCTCGAAAGCGGCCTAAGTTAAACCTGGCCTAACTTAGTCCGTGGATTAGTTAGGCCAGGCTTAACTTAGGCCACTGAACTAAGTCATTTTCATTTCTCGAAAGGTGGCCTAGCTGATCCATGGTTTAAACCTGGCCTAACTTAGTCCATGGATCATTCACCATGGTTACAGTTTCTGCACATGCTCAGTACCGAAGCTGCGACGTCACAATGCACTAAGACAATGGGCTAAGACAATGAATGCGCGCAGTGTGGAGAGGATGCATCACCTCGACAACTTGAGCAATATGACGTCCAGGGGCGGCGGAGCGACTTCCAAAGCGGGGGGCAGCACCAACAAAAAGGGCACTTGCTGGAATTGTATCATTGTTAAAAGGGAAATTATCAGAGGTGAAAAGGGTCACATATCGCACCTGAAAAGGGGCATTGAACATATTTTAAAAGGGGCACTTATGAGAATGAAAAAGAGGCACTTATAATAAAGGAAATGTGCATTTTTGAAAGAAAAGGGGCACCGATAATTTTGTTAATAGGGGCACCTCTCAGATTTAAATAGGGCAATTATAAGAGGTGAAGGGGCACTTATTGCAAAGGAAAATGGAAACTTGTCAAAGGAAAAGGGGCGCGTGTCAAAATTAAAGGGACACTTTTCAGAGGTGAAAAGGGGAAGGGGCACTTTTCCTATGGAAAAAGGGGCACTTCTTACAAAGTTAAAAGGGAACTTTCCTATATAAAAAGGGGCATTTGAAAAAGAGGGCACTGTACCCCCCCCCCAACTCTTTCTCCCTATCTCCATCTCTCTCTCTCTCACACACACACACACACTATCTCACATCATTGTTTATTTCTTTCACCATAAAATTGTTCTTTCTCATTTGGTTCCCTTTCTCTTTTACTCTATCTCTCTCTCTCTCTCGCTCGCTCTCTGTTCTCTCACTGTTCTATTTCAAGATTTTTTCCATGTATAATTCAATGAACCCAACAGTATGCACACTTAAAATCAAAAGATATGAAAGGAATATTGTATATAAGATATCAACAATTATGTTCAATTTATTTATTTTTCTTAAAACAGAAAAGATTGTAATTCATGATGAATTCGATTATAGAATTGAAGGTCAAAATCAAATATTAAGCTCCAATAGGCTCATAATCTGCTACTTAAAACTATTAGAATTAAATGTTATGTATTTGTTACATGTTCAATGCCCCTTTTCAGGAGCGATATGTGACCCTTTTCACCTCTGATAATTTCCCTTTTAACAATGATACAATTCCAGCAAGTGCCCTTTTTGTTGGTGCTGCCCCCCCCCCCCCCCCCCCCCCCGCTTTGGAAGTCGCTCCGCCGCCCCTGGACGTCATATTGCTCAAGTTGTCGAGGTGATGCATCCCACCACACTGCGCGCATCCATTGTCTTAGTGCATTGTGACGTCGCAGCTTCGGTACTGAGCATGTCCAGAAACTGTAACCATGGTGAATGATCCATGGACTAAAGATAGTACACTAACTTAAGCCAGGGGTTTAAACAATGGATCAGTTAATCCACCTTTCGAGAAATGAAAATGACTTAGTTCAGCGGCCTAAGTTAAGCCTGGCCTAACTAATCCACAGACTAAATTAGGCCAGGTTTAACTAAGGCCTCGAGAATACCACCCTAAATCTATATACCCAAACCCTAATCCAAACCCTAACCTTAACCCAAACCCTAACCCGAACCTAAAACCTAATGAAACCCTAACTCAATGTTTTTTGGACAAAACCTGGAGTAAATGTCACTGAGTAATTCCCGGGTCGTCCTGTGTCGTTCTGGGACTTCACGTTTCATTTTCTTATCTTTTCAGTGTGAACGCTGTTCGTTTGTAGGGTTTCGTCCTTTATCAGTTTCCATAGCAACCGTTGCTAAAAGAATATGTTTAGAACGTGGAATACATAGAAGAGCACTAGTGCAGTGGGATAAACAATATATCATATGACAAAATGGATACATTATATCCATATTGTCAAAGGGAAGATGGCACTTAACATTTGTTTACACGCGTACGATATGTATTTGTAAGACCCAGTTTGAAAATGTATCTTGTGAGGAGAAATTTGTGTAAAAATGATGCCTGCAGGGAATTGGATTTCTTACTTATAATTTGTTTAACCAGAGACAAAGATGAAATTGCCAAATTAGGCTTTATATCAAATCTGACTGACATGAGCGCTATACAAGAACCCACTTTTATTATTATTATTATATATTTACATTTATTTACATTGTACCATCATCACCATTATTGCCACCAACACCATAATCCATAATTATCCCCATTATCATCATCCCCACCACCACCACCACCATCATCATCATCAACACCACAATCCGTCATTGTCACCATTATCATCATCATCACCAACATCACCACCACCATCATTATCCCCACCACCACCATCATCATCATCATCACCACCACCACCATCTTGAAAGCAAGATAATTGAAATGTACAGAAAAATATAAAAAGAACTGTAAAAGGAACAAAAAGAAACAGTGAAAGTAAAAAGCAATGACATCAATAAACCAACAACATAAATTCAATATCATGGTCATTCAAAAGACCATTTATTCACCACAGATAAAAGATTAAATTCGATCAACATGATCAGCACTTCAATCATCTTCACACAATAAAATTAAACACCTTTTAAATACAACAAAAATAACAGTGTAGTTATCTTTGTCAAATCGTATAAATGATCACCAATTAAAGATCTTGTATGTCCAAAATATCATCCAATGCTTCAAATAATTATTTCTTTAAACATTGCTGTTGAAAAAAGGAGAAGGATCAAAATAAAACTGAGAGAGTCAAATTTCACAGGGAAATACAAAGGATGTATAAAAACGTGGTAGCTTCATTGGTTCAATCTTGCTTTTTATCAGTAATATAGCGTACCTATCATAACCAAATGAATACAGTTCACATTCCTCTCTTTCAAAATGCAAAACGACAGACAAAATATTGCTATGCTTTAAAGGCACACTGTCCTACTTGTACCTACTTGCTCCCTCTATATAGAAAACTTCCCCAATCGGTGCCTGTTGGTCCCACATGATCCTCTTTTTCTTATGTTAAATGAGAGCTGAGTTAATGAGATAGCCACCTGTCACAGTGACCTCGCTGGCTCGCTGGGTGGTCTAATCCCTTCTGGCTGAAGTAGTAAAGCCTGCCTTTAAGGAAGCACATTTGATATACACACAATGTCTTGTTCTACATTCGTTAACTTTGATTTTATTCCTTCATAACCATACTGTGGGATAACAAATTCATAATGGGCTAGAAAAAGTTTGATAAGAAGCGATTCGTCGGCATTATTATGAACAGACGAACCCGTACAGTTATACATGACTGATCAACAGTTCATAATAACATAGATGAATTGATGGGGCTTTTGACAAGTAAAGTAAATACACAGCATTTGCACAATACATCAATGCACCAAAGAACAGCGAAGTAGAGTTTAGACTGAAACAATATTTCTTTCCCTAATCTTTCAATAGAGAGTAACACCAAACCATATATTTTATTATTCCTTTGATTCTAAATACCACCAAAGTATCACCAAAATATAAACTTACCAACCTATCAAATTAACAAATCTCCTTTTTGCAATCGCATTATTTATCAAATAGCAATAGCATATGAAGGAAGGAAATTTTTAAATATCTTGTTACATGTATGGTAACTTTATACAGTATTTTAAAAGTCACTTTTAAATGCATCAGTTATTTGTTACTTCAGACTAAAGAATAAACTGTTACTTATAGATCTAATTCAATAGGCAGGAGTATAAATCTATAACATTTTAGAGGTAGGTACATCCTTGTTCCACAATTTGCACATTCCGTCATAAGTACTCTACAAGTTTGAAACTATGATTGTTGAAAGTTTCATCGAAATACATACTTCATGTACTAGAATTAAACACTATATTATTTTAAAGATGTGTGCAAAATATGTTTTGCTCTCTTTAGCTTCTTCACTAACATTGTGACTACCGGTACACATTCCATTAAGCTGCCTAGAAAGATTATCCTCTTTGGCCAAGCACCATTCTTATTTATTAGTCTTGCTATGTCAGGCACACCTTGGACAACCTCTTAAGGTTACCACAAGCAGTTACTTGTCAAAATTTGCCTACACTATAAAAAATTAAAAAATACTTCTGACTTTCTGACAGATGTACCGATGTGGTGTTTACATTGTATGAAATACATGTGATAATATGCATTAAGCTTTGGTATTGATTTAAACATTATATTGCCCCCCCCCCCCCCCCACAGAGATTTGTCATAACAATTTAGCATTGATTTGTTGTTGAAAACAAGTCTTATGGAATAGGGCTATTGTACCTACCAGGCCCAAAAGATCCTTCTAAGAATTGAGTTGGCATCTTTGCTTCTCTCTCTAATCTAAATTTTCATAATAGAATGGAATGTGAGATTAAAAATGTCTGTTTACATTTACAACTTTACCCTGTTTAGAGGTACGCATACCTAATGCGGATGTGAATGTAAAAAACATGCACAAGCAATAAAATAGGCTGTGAGAGCAGAAAATGTATCAGAAAACATATATCATATCATGTTATTGACAATATACACGCAGATGGCATAGAGCCAAAACTCAATTAAACGTTCAAGTTTTTCTTCTGTGCTAAATAATCAAAGACGACAAAAAATATCCTTAATTAGGAAGAAAATACTTGTAAATTGTTTGAGTGACAACTTTGATCATAATACTTTGATGCTAATATATCTATTTTCTTATTTGCTACATCATGATTAACCTTTCTTGATTGCTCCAAGAGAATTTCTTTCATAATTTAGTCACATGACCAAGGCCCTGTAACACAAAACTTAGCAATTGATTGTAGAATTAATTGATTAATTGACCATACAATTGATTGATTAATTGACCGTACAATCAAATGATCGTACATCATGGAAAACTGCTAACTTATCTTTGTGCCATGGGGCCCAGTACTCAACTTTGAGGCATATTCTCGAAAGCGGACTAACTTTAGTCCATGATTTAATCCACCGACTAAGTGTAAATATGAATATGTTTTTGAATAATTCAATCTGTCACTAAATTTATGTAAAATGTAATAACATAATTAATAAAAAACAATATAACTATGATATAATAATGTTATCATGGTAATTTAGGGACATATCAAATTATTCAAAAATATATTCATATGGACACTCGGCATTCTATACTTAGTTGGTGGATTAAACCATGGATTAAAGTTAGTCCGCTTTCAAGAATACCCCCCTTTATCTTTAAATATCAGTTGGATGTGTGGCACTAGGAGGAACTCTGGCCAATCTTCAGCGAATCAGCGTTGTCTACTCTGCCTTCTTAGATTGCTGCCTGCTGAGGTATTCCTTGGTGGCGCCCCAGTACCAGACCAGCTGCAGAGTGATGATGCTGTTGCAGGTGGACGCGACGATGTACGTCCAGACCAGCATGGGATCATTGGTCTCCTGGACGCTGGTGAAGATTCGGGCCAGACTGCCGGCGGTCAGTAGGAAGACGGTCACGGCAGAGAGCTGACCGGTGTGGCCGTTGCTGAAGTTGGTATAGGCTTGTATTAACTGTACATTGGCAGGAAAGGGAAGGAGAGAATACAATAAAATTACAGCATAGAAGAGAGAAATACAGCAAGACCAGTCTATAACCAGGCTTTGGGTGTCTTGGTCTTGGACCCAAGTCCTAGTGAAAATTGAATGAAACGAGAACTCATTACCACATGTCTGTATACAGATTTTGTTTGTTTGTTTGTTTTACCCAACTGCTAAGAAAGCATGTATATGCTTGTAAGTAAGCAACCAGGGCACCGGAGGCTTTAAATCCTCTCAGAGGGACTTGGTAATGAGGAATTATGCCTTACCAAAGGGCACTAGCAATCAAACTTGGGACCTCCTGGTTACGAGACCACTGCTCTACCACTGAGCTATTGCATCTCATTGAAATTGAGTGTAACCAGGGCCCCGTCTTACAAAGAGTTGATATCAATCACTACTCATTTGCGATTGATGTCAATCTCAATCATGTATATAAGAGATAGGGGAATGCAAACTTGCGATTGATTTGAGGACTTGCACAATTGTTTGTAAGACGGGGCACTGAACTCCATACCACATGTCTACGTATAGATTGATTGCAAAGTACACTGACCCAAAATGTAACAAAAAATGTTATTGTCCAGAGCATATAAAATGTTGAATTTGAAATGTAGAAGTATCTAGTGACTTATTACAAGGAAATGTATTGTCCCGTTCTCGTCTCTATTGGCAGCCCCTCATTTGTTCCCTATTTTGTAGTTCCTTTAGTAGTTACGAACTTAATTACTCATTATTCCTAAGTATCATTGAGGGGCGAAAATGTGTACAAGCATTGCTTTTTAGTGGACCCTTCTGTTTCCAATATGTATTCCTTAACTGTTGTAAATGTTTAAAAGTGATTTGTAATGTTTTGTTGGAAACATAAATCAATTGTATTGAATTGAATGTAATACCTTACTGACGATGACGATAGGCATGTTCCCTGCTTGTAGCATGGCGATGGTGCTCATGGGAGTGAGGCCAGACAGAAGGACGTACATGATACCCAGGTAGGAGAGCAAGAAGGATACAGCTCCAGCTTGGTTTCCATTATACAACATACATAGGAATGCTATAGTGACGGTCTGCACGGCTAGAAATAGGGCTTCACCCCATGCTCTGGAAAAAGAAAGACACATTCATTTTTGAAATTAAGTTGCAAGAATTTGAGATCAGTGTATGGTTTTGAAAGTCTGGGATTCAATTCAATTAAAAAAATTATATTTCCATAGCTCAATCAAAACATGAAAAAATGCTTACGGTACATAAAAATTGATATTATAATAAATAATAATATTTAATTTTTATATAGCGCTTAATACAAATGTCTCTAAGCGCTTTTACAAATATACTATTACATTTGTAATATAACATAGATAAGCAATCAAAGCATTTTAGGGTAAAAGATATACAAGCATAACGTTATCATACATCATGTAACAATTTTAAGGAAATTGATAAATCCACTAAAAAGCAGAACTTGTACTTGTGTGGATGACTAAAAAAAGACCTCCCCCCCCCCCCCCCCAAAAAAAAAGAAAGGAAGAAAGAAAGAAAGATAACAAATGTTCCCACTCTCCTACCAGGTGTAGTACGTGGGTACCTGGTAGGAATTTATTCCTTGGAAGCTTTAAGCAGCTCAGGGCAGCTGGGCTAAAGCCAGTGAAATAATAGAACATTGTAAGCACCTTGAACCTTTCTTGGGATGGATACAAATGTATGTGCTCAATATGCATTTGGTCAAAACTCAAAAGTTCACCTTTTACCAGAACTTAAAGGGGAAGTCCACCCTAATAATAAGTTTGTTTTAATACAAGGAGAAAATGAGAAGAACAGATCAGTGAAGGTTTGCGAAAAATCAGACAATACATAAGGAAGTTATGGATTTTTAATTTTTTTTTTATTTTCATGATTTTTAAAGATTCATAACTTTCTTATTTGTTGTCCGATTTTTCTCAAACTTTCACTGAATTGTTTCTCTTATTTTTCTGCTTCTATTAAAACCAATTTAATATCAGGGTGGACTTCACCTTTGATCATCTCTTCTACACTGTAAGCAATTTCTGAAGCCTTGTATTTAAATAAACTAAACGCTGGAACAAGTCCTGCCACAGTAAATGTTGGATTGCCAGATAATACTCACGAGAAAGGGTAACTATTAGCAAAGGAATAAGCCCATGATGATGAGATTGCTGCGAGCTCTAGAAGAACAGCCAGTACATTCAAGCCTTCCCCACTCTTAGAAGCCAAGATCTTGCCAATCTGTGGGAGTTTCACTGTAAAATTACAGAGATTTTTTTTAATCCATGAAAATCTATTTAAAGATAAAGTTGAGTTCTGGTCAGGCGATTACATTGTGAAAGAAACGGTGAGGAATGGATCAGAAAAAGTTGATCACATATAAGTATCGGTGTGTACTGCAAGGTTCTGGCGTCATCAAAATGATGAGAAATTTGACCCAGTCTTGGTAAAGTAACAAGCACCGTACACAGAAAGATGTACATGTACAGTGTATATGGGACTATATAAACAATAACATGTGGCATAAAAATTGGGTCTCATTTTGAAACTTTTTGTCATATTTAGAATATGGAGGTATTTGAAGAGCCATACTTTTAAGGGAACATTTTTACTCTGATGTTCTGCCACACTTGCATAAGAACAATTACAACGCTCACAAATTACTTTTACCTCTCCCCAGAACTCAACCTTCTCTTGAAGTACACGTTTTACTTCTAGTCTTTTTTAATCTTTTATTTGCCTCCCATGTCAACTGGCACGGTCGCTGGTTTGCTACATGTGCCGATCGGTACAAAACAACAGGCACCAATTTACGGATGACTTGCTTTGTGCAACATAGTGGCTTTGCAAAATTTCAAATTTCCGGTATTGATTAGCTCCATGTCTCCATGACAACCCTTGTTATACCTGTACAGTTTAGTCTTGAACTGGAAATAAGCCTTTGGTATTTCTATTTTTTGACAAATACGATGTGCCACAGGGAGATTATATGTGCGGCATATGAAGAGTTAACTCTGTGTTTGTTGCATTACAAATCCCATTGCTACTTTGGTTTGAGTATAATGTTCCTACTTCCTTGCATATATACAGCAATATGTTTCTTGGTGATTGATACACTTCAGAAGAAAATATTCAAATATAAAGCCACATTTTAAAACAAAATAAAGAAGATGGAGGAAATGATTTCCAAAATACAAAAAATTGAACAATTGGAAAGGAGCATACCTACAAATAATGATGTAGGAATTTTAGAAAGGAACTTATTCGTGCTTTTTTAAATAAACACATTATCTATTCCACTTGAAGTAAAATCCAGTTATCTCATTTTGGAAAGAAACTATTATACCAGCACTTTTTCCCGTACTTCCTGTCATAAATTTACTTACCCTGCATAGCAAACACACATAATTTGCTGGTAGCAGATTGAACAAAACATACCAGGGCAGGGGAGTGTTTTACAAAAACTAAACTTGCCTTTAAGTTGGACTTAACTATGACAGGCTGTTCATGTCACTGTTTGCTCTCTGCGTTATATGGCATTGGACTCTCAAGGGACCTACAAATCGTGGTCACAAATCTACAGAATTTACATTTTTTGATAATTCATTATTGAAGAAAGAAATCTTATCTATTGATCATAATGGTGAGAGCAACAATTGGCTTAAATAGCCTGCCATAGTTAAGTCCAACTTGAAGTCGATCTTAGTCTGTGTGAAACACCCCAGGCCTCTTCACATACATGTATATCATACAGCAATGTTCCCTTTCCAGTTCAGCATTTAGATCATACAAGCATTCATGATACTCAATTCTTCTCAATAAACAGATAGGAAAGAAATGTAATCGTCATGGAAAATCTTCCTTCTACCACTTACCCATAAGAGATCCAGCAATGATGCCCAATCCCAATCCTTTACTCAAGGCCACTTTTAGACAGGGAACTGTAAAGAAGTAAAATTTCACAATCATCGTCATTATCATTAATTTATCATTAAATGACTTCTCAACATTAATCATTATGCTTCTCCTTCTTTGACTTTATCGGATCTTCTTCTCCTCCTTCTTCAGCCTTCTTTATCCCCTTCTCCTTTTTCCCCCCTTTTCTTCTCAATCTTCTCCTTCTTCATTTTCTTTCCCTTCATTATCTTTCTTTCACCTCACGTCTCAGATTCATTTTCTTTACTTTTCTTTTTCTTTCTTTCTATCTTTCTTTTTTTCCCTAATATTTGTTTTACAGCATCATTATCATTATCAATTATCATCATCGTTATCATAATAGAGTACCGGCTATCTAAGATAATTGTAAGATAACAAACGGGTACATAATTATGGTGCAAGTGCAACACATGTAACAGCTGTCGGCTGTGAAACCAACACAAATACAGGTGTATGGGACCGTACTGTGCTTTTCCGATCCTTATGGCGTGAATAATTAGGTTGGTATTTGGAAACTTACTATCTAGGAAGTTAAAGTCTTCGAAGAATGTGATGTAGCAATCTTCTGGCAAAAGAAGCATCACAAGCCATGGGAACAGTCCGGTCCTTTCAGTTTCAACTTCCATCTCGAGATTTAGAGTGCAGCGTCTCGCTACGTCTACAACTTCACAAGTAGATCTAGTACTGGTACAACAATGCAATGTGTGGAGGAGGAAGGGCCAGGGGTGCATGATGGGGGCGGGGGGGGGGGGGGGGGGGGGGGAAGGATTTTTTCAAGGGGGGGGGGTTTAACATTTATTAATCGGGCCGAAAATTTCGCAAATTTCGACTCAGCCAGTCGCTGAATAAGCGGGGGGGGGGGGGGGGGGGGGGGGGGAGGACACTTTTTTTGGGGGGGGGGGTCTCGAAATTTGAAAAAATTGACATTTGGCTTTGGCTTTTTAGGTCAGCTATGGGAATAATTTTTTTTTTTAAAAGACCAAAGGGGAGGGGGTTTAGGGGGGTGATGGGGGGGGGGGGTTTACACACATAAAAATACCAAAAGGGGGGTTAACCCCCCAAACACCCCCCCCCCCACCCCCGGCCCCCTGTGTACGCGCCTGGAGGGGTGTATGGGGGCAGGGGCATATAATTGAGTAGTTTAGTACGATCCGATTTTGGAAGAATTGGTTGATTGATTGGATTGATTTTATTCGTCAAGCCTCAACTTAAAAAGTTACAGATCAAAATTAGGTCAGCTTTCACAGGATAACCCACGAAAGCTCAAGAGCTTATTTACAGTGGGTCCCCTAAATACATGTACAAAATTAATAAGTTAAAACAGTAATATTTATAGATAAGAAAAAAACTTATTAAAGCTAATAATGATGATAATACTATAATAAAAACATTAAAATAATAATGATAGAAATGAGAAGAAGAAGAAGAAGAAGAAGAAGAACAAGAAGAAGAACAAGAAGAAGAAGAAGAAGAAGAAGAAGAAGAAGAAGAAGAAGAAGAAGAAGAAGAAGAAGAAGAAGAAGAAGAAAAAGAAGAAGAAGAAGAAGAAGAAGAAGAAGAAGAAGAAGAAGAAGAAGGCTTATCTGGGTCAATCCCTGTGTAATATAGTATAAGGAAAATCATGGAGGAGAGAGCCGTAGAGAAAATACATAGCGATAACACGAAAAGTTTGCATGGATGACCTGGGCTTTTAAGTGCTACTGGCAGCAGATAGGATTGTTTGTGTGTTGGAATTTAACAATGTTTGGACACTCACAACGCCAAATCATTTGGGACAGTATTAATTCCAGCGTTTCGTTTCAATAAATGTCATATTGCTTCTTGAAAAATTATATTTCAACAGTGGCAATTAGCGTATATTTCTCTGTGTTCTTGTATCATACTAATGAAATGTACAATTCGGATTAAAAATATGATTGAATATGGACGGAAGTGTGCTTTAAAATATGACTACATAAATATAACAACTTGCAATTGATTCAGTTGATAAATAGTTCACACTTCCATTTGACTAAAAAGAGGAGCGCTGTGGCTACAGGAGGGGCTATATATTGCACGTTTTTGAAGTATATACAATCTATTGCCTATTTGCTTGTTGTAATTGCACTATTTCCCTACACTATATTTCAATATAAATATGATAAAAAAAGATACCTAGCTTAAAGGTACTATTTGCAGGCCAAAAAAATGAAAAAGTTAAATTCCAATTGCATTTGAAAGATAATACTAATTTAGAACTTCCCTAAAAAAAGGTGGGGCTTGAAAAATGTCTTCAAGTGGGAAAATAACGACTATTAGTTGTCAAATGGACTTTAGGGCTATAGAGCCCAAAAGTAATAGTCTCGATTTTCAGACAATTGTACCGAATGGTCATACGTTTTATGCTGCGCAAAGATCCAATCAGTTTAATCTTGGCCATCACAAGAAGTGGGTTATTGATGTAGACAAATGCTCATGTACCCTTTACAACTCTTTTCATATATGTTATTACCAAAGAAGAAAAAAAGCCAGTCAGTCACTCAATAGACTGACAGTGAAGTCTAGCAAGTAAACGGGTTTCCTTGCATAATTTGAATATGAGGACACTGCCAATGTTTAAATTTCACAGATAGGACATACATGACATATTCATAATCCTGCAAAGTTCTACAGAATTTGAGGTTGGCTGCAAAAGGGACATAGTACCTTTAAATGGAATTATATGGAACAATATTTTTGTGTGTTTCTCGTCCCCGCCCGCCTCCTTTTTTGGCCGCGGCCTTCTTTTTGTTTTACTATTTACTATTCATGCAGTAGGAAAAAACTGAAGCCCCCCCCCCCCCCCCAAAAAAAAAAATAAGAAAGAAGAAGCTTAATTATAATATACATTTTGCTTTAAAATAGATACAAATCATTTGTTTTTTCATACATTGCATCAGTATATTCACATAGCATAATATATGTGAATAAATAGGCTTGGCGAGCAGCCATACTTGGAAAAACTAGCAAAAAAATGCACAATATAGAGTAAATATATATGCCCTCCTTTCTTTTAAAGTCCGGACGAGAAACACGTTATTTTTGTTATTTGCCATATTGACAGTAGGTTTACTGGTAGGTAATTTTTAAAACTAAATGTAGGTGTGAAATAGAAGGGCCAGCCCACTTTTGTCTCTCACTCTCTCGACCTTGTGCATATTCACATTTTTTGATGACGTAGCTATGCATATTCATAATTCCAGTTAACCGCGCTCTTGACTTCAGTGCAAACAATTTGTCTTTAATTTGTCTTCTGTAGCTTGCATGTAAGATGAGTTCGGCAGGAAAGGTAAGATTTCTTCTTCCTCATAATAATTTGATTATCTTTTCTGTGAGAATGTACGAGGGAGAGAGGTGAAATAGCGATAAATTGACATTCCAGATGATGACTCGAAACTGTTGTGAATTTTGTGTGTGTTTGCCATTGATGCAAAGCGGGGTGGCAAATCCGGTCACTCCATCATGATTCTGTACAGGTGGGACTGGGCCAAGTATTTTACCGGTAGAAAAGTTCAAAAATAGATTGTTTGGTTTACATGTTAAAGCTAGTATGAGGTCCATCCCATTTACGGATAGACTTCATGCATTGAAGTCTCGGGTAGTAGCTACTAGGAGTAGGAGTGTTCTTAGGTTACTTCAGCTTGGGTTTTTAGGTAAAAAATATGAAATTGAGCCTTAAATTTGTGGCACTTGTTTACAACTGAACATTTGGAGCCGTGACTCCGGCGTGAAGATTTCGTACTACATCCCCCAAAACAACTAAATTTTCAATAATTGTTCTAATAACGGTCATGATTTTAAAATTGTTATCTTTCTCACCTGTTTCGTGTCAATTTTCTTATCATTTTGGGAGTTTTTAAAACTAAAAACAAAGAATTAAATAATTAGTAGGCCTAGTCTAGATCTATACACTTTCTCACACTGTCACTGGTTTCAGGGCAAACCGCTACTCAATTATACCAGCGCGCCTGCCTCCGTGAAGTTAGCGATTGTAATGATGATCATCAATTTAAAATGTGAATTACTTGCATGAATTTAATGATGATCTGGGATTACAGTCGCTAACTTCACATTATTGATTGAAAAGTTGGCATTTACAAATGAGGAAACCACAAACTGTTTTATACTCAACAATTTTTTGTTTCTTTTCCAACTAGGGAAGTGACTTTTAAGTTCTTTTTGGCCATATAAACTACATGATGCAACGTAAATAAATTACATTTTCAATTGTTTCTGCAGGTAGGGGAGATCTTCTCAGCTGCTGGTGCAGCCTTCAGTCAGCTTGGTGAACTGACAATGCAACTCTATCCTGCAAATGATCAAACACCTGTTAGGTAAGGAAGAAACATTTGCAACTTGTCTTGAAATTCCTCCTCCTTCTCCTTCTCATCTGCTCTTTCTCCTTCTCCTTCTCCTCCTCCTCCTCCTTCTCCTTCTCCTCCTCCTTCTCCTCCTTTTCCTCCTCCTTTTCCTCCTCCTTCTCTTTTTTCCTCTTCTCCTTCACCTTCACCTTCTTCTACTTCTTCTTCTTCTTCTTCTTCCTCTTCTTCTTCTTCTTCTTCTTCTTCTTCTTCTTCTTCACCTTCACCTTCTTCTACTTCTTCTTCACCTTCTTCCTCTTTGTCTACTTCATCTTCTTCTTCACCTTCTTCTTCCTCTTGCTCTTTCTCCATCTGCTTACCCTTCTTTTTCCTCTTCTTTTCCTCTTCCTCTTCTTTTTCTACTACTGCTTCTTCTTCTCCTCCTTTTATTTACCTCCTTCTTTTTTTCTTCTTCTTCTGCTTGCCCAATACCCTTAAAAGGGAGTCAAATCTAAGGTATTAGATGACTCTCTTCAAATGTTTTAAACTGATTTTTGGATTTTCTTTTCATCTTAAAAAAAGAAGATATCTACTGATACTGTATTCCTCAGGAGTGTTATTTCAAAGTGAGCCTTTTTGTAGGGTTAGTGGCTCACAAAGATGTCAGTGGTTCTTCCCCTGCCTTCTAGACATATGACCTCATAGAAAGTTGACCAAAATGTAAATGGGCGCAAAGACACATCATTCTACAAAAATGGTAACATCTTGTTTGAAAGACTTTGTGACTTTTGCTTCATATTTTTGTATTATTTTATCTTTGATACTACACAGTGGCAAGTGGACAGACGAGGAGGTGGACATGCTGAAGAATGCCATCAAACAGTTTGGAGATGATCTGCACAAGATTAGTGACGTTATCAAGACAAGAACAGTGTAAGTTATAACGATACACATTTATCATCCTCACCTTGAAGCAGCACTTATACTGGAAGAAGATACTAAATGGTCTATGAGTGTTCTGGGAGACCAGAAAAATTAGTGTGCATGGAATGTTTGCGATTTTGCAAGGGGTTAAGATCCGCTGAAGTTTCATGCCACAAAATTTATAATCACAACTGGCAAAACACTAGATTTTGTATTTGTCAAATTCTCTCTTTAAATGAAAATGGTGTTGTTCAAAATTTCCTACACGTTTCATGCCACAAAAGTTCTGGATTTACAGTAAGGCCTACAGCATACATTGAAATCCAAATATGATCCAAATTTGGAAGGATTGCAACTTTATTTGACAACATATATATTCTTTCTGTCTGAGGTTCCTGGTGGTCATGTGAATAAGTAATATCAAATTGTAAAGGCAGAAACATTTGCTTGCATGAAGCGTTCACGATTGGTCCAGATTCACCAAAGTTTCACGGAACTGCAAAATAGTGAAAATGTGATTGAAACGTCAATTACAAGGAATACAGTCAAACCTGTCTACAAAGACTACATTTGTAGTTTCCCTTGGAAAATGTTTCTCATTGAAACATGTACTAAATGAACCTGCCTACAAAGACCACTTTGTGTGTTTCTCTTGGGTGGTCGCTGTAAACAGGTTTGACTGTATTGGTAATTTGCTGTTAAAACAGTTTGCGGCAGATTCTTATGAAATTGTCTTGATTTACAGCTTCCCTCCTTTCAGGCTCTTGTAGGATTAATATGGCAATGTTTTGATTTTTATTTGTGATTTTTTATTATTCTGTGCGATCTTCTTTCCAGATCTCAGATCAGGGCGGCTATCAAGAGGAAATCCCTCGATGTAAACTGCAAGAAAGACAAAAGTGATAGCGGGCACAGTGAGCCCTCTACAGGTCTAACCTTGACCAGTCAATCTCCGGCACGTGCCTCGTCGGGTGAACGGCCTTCTAAGAGGACCAAGCATGGTAAAATCTCCTTTCTAAACCTTGACCCAAATTTTGTTTAACCCCTAGTCATGTTTTTCACTTAGCTGTTGTCCTCACAATGTTCCACATGCTCTGACGACTGCTCTGTCGTGACTTTCAACAACAAAAAATTCCAATCCCAATTGAAGGGGAAATTCGTTCTTGTTTTCACGAAGTGACGGTAGTGAGGAAAATCGTCACGCAAAGTTAATGCAATTTTTTTTCACTACCATCACTTCGTGAAAACAGCGACGAATTCACCCTTACATTATATTTGTTTTTATTAGCAAAACAGAACTAAAAAAGTAGAGAAAAGGATCACTGAAAGTTTGAGCCAAATTTGATGAGTAATAAGTAAGTTATGAATTTTTGAAGCTGTAGTTGATAAAACACAAATTGGCAACTCGGTGACCTATCTCTTGCAGTCCTTTTTCATTTGCTCTGTACTGAAAAATTCATGAATGTTTATTTCATCTAAAGAAAACTTCCAATCATACACTTGCTGCTGTATGATACAAATATATTCCTTCATCACCAACTAAGATATCTTTGATGGCAAAAGGTATCAATCAAATCTATTTCTCAGATTCGTTGGAGCCTGGAACCGATTCTCTGGTCGACATTGAAGGCCTAGAAGACAGCTCGGTATCTCCGTGCAAGAGGCTGGAATATGATGGAATACAGCCTGCTGCCGGAAGTAAGTCTTTAACTTTCTCTTAATTTTTCATTTTTGTTGATTATGAGAAAGGATGGTATTCAATTCTGGTTTATTGTAAATAAAAACTTACTGAATAAAAAGTCCGGAGACTCATACAATTCAGTTTACAAATTATAAATACATACAAGAATAAAGAAATCAATACTTTAAGCAATCTTTTTTATATTAATTACTGATTCTAATTCTGAGCAGATTGAAACTTATTTTATCATGATTTTAGTGAAATGATTTAATTGTCATTAACAAAGCTTAAGTTATGATTTATCATTAGTTAATGATCACATTTAAGTGCCTCGCTAATAAATCTTGAAGACACCAATAATAATCTGCAAATTAGAATTAAAATCATTTCATGAAACTCAAGATAAAATGATTCCCAGAATACCACCACTGCTTTTTAAGACTGACTTTATTATTATTGTGTAAGTCTTCCTCTAGTGACAAAGTTCAGATGAGATTACACAACACCTGCTCAATCTCCTGTGTTTGCTTTGTCTCGTTTTGTATCTGTCTGTCTACTTATCCTTCTGTACGGTATTTGGTACTCTCAATATCTATCTGTCAGAGTCTCTTGAGTTTGTGAGTCATAGTTGTCCATGGGAATTAGATCTCATCAATTTCCAGTTTGCATGTCCAATTCTGCAAACGAAACTATCAGAAGAGGTCTTTATGAGGTGTCGTGGTCAAGCGGATACGTCTCTGGACTGTGGATGAAAGGTCCTCGGGTCGAGTCCCGCCGCGGCACTAATGTCCTTTGGCAAGACATTTATCTACATTCGCCACACTCAACCCAGGTTACGTAATGGGTACCTGGCAGGAACTAATTCCTTGAATTGCTAGAGCGCTGTAATGGCAGCCATGCAAACCCCAGGGTAATAATCGGGAGTGCCAGGAGTGTCAAGTCTGACAGATATGAGCGCTATACAAGAACCCAATATTATTATATTCAATGTGTTATGTTGCCGTTCTGAATAAATGTACACTCAACAATCCATCAATTTCTTGATGACTATTAAAGTGTGCGTGACTATTTTTATGTGTTATTTTCTCACAGTTGACATCAAGGTAGAATGCGAGGCTACCTCCTCTGGAACAGAAGCAGACATTTTACAAAGATGAGGAACCCAGCCGGCCCTCCATTTCCATGGCAATGAAATGAATACACCACGCCCACATTCATCCAGAGAAGTTATTAATACAGCTGTACAGAGCATGAAATGAACATTCTCCTCACGTGCATCATGCTGGATATTCATCTTCTGTTATTCCTGAAATGGTACTGTGAAACCTGCTTTAGTGACCACCTGTTAAGAAGACCACCTTGCTTTAATGACCGTATTTCCCCTGAATATAGTCTGTCATTGAAACATATACTATAGGAACCTGTACACAAAGACCACCTTCCTATAAAGAATACTGTTCTGGTCTCCCTTGAGCGGTCTTTATATACAGGTTTCATTGTATTTGCTATGTTGCTCTTTGCTAGATTGCAGCTTGCTGATCATGAGATAGCTGCAGATCATTTTAAGGCTCTTTTAATACACATGACAGATATATCATGGCGCTTTAAAAACAACATGTCAGTGAATTGTGAGTAAGGTGAAGAATGGAAGCTGCACGCAACAAACGTCATTAGCTGTTCTAAAGAGGGGCTTGAGGAGGCTCAAGGCCCCCCCCCCCCTCCTAAAGACAAACAAATCTTTAATAGAAGGCATTCCTTTATTCATACTCCCTGATCTGTGTGTTGTGAGACAAAGACATGTAAAGCATATTGCGTTTTGTCTCACTTTAAATGGCCTTTGTGGAAAACCCTGGCAGTTTACCTACCGTGCTGGAGCAGCAAATGTGAACGAGGTTTATTCAGTCATAATTATTGTAAGGCGAGGTACATCCGACTTGCCAACCGTTCCGTTTCTAATGGAACTGTTACGTTTTTGAAGTTTTTAGAGCCATGAAAAACGGAACGTTCCGATTTGGGGGAATTATACATGTAGTGTAAATACCAATTGGCTTTCCATAGTTTCCATCCGATGAGTGCTGGAAGGATTGCATTGCGTAAGATGCACGCAGCGTGTTTGTTGCGCGCCACGCTGATCGCTATTTGCCACGTGTAATAATGAGCCTGCGTGTGCGTAGAGTGCCCATAGAGTGCCATGCATAATCCCTCAGTCATAGGCACCGCACAGCAAGCACGCGTCGCGTTAGCACTATCGCTCACGATCACCGCACGACTCCGGCCGTATATATATGCGAGATACGATTTCACGTGCAGTCGCAGCGCAAGGTACATGATTTGTGATTTTCGTTCCGTTTTCTGAATTTCAAATGCTAGCAAGTATGGGTACATGTTGTAAAGTGATACAACTTGGTCCCTGATTGACCCTCCGGTGTCAGTATCTGTGAAATTTGAGTTGTCCAAAATGTACCAGCATGATTTATATTGGCATCACATTACAGCTTAACCTCTATGGCAATATCCATTGTCATTTTTTAATGGAAAGATCCCCAGAAGTACGTCTTTTATATGATCCCCAAAGTTATGACTTAGAATATTTAATGCCAAATACAGTTTGCAATCATTTAAATATGATATTTTTAGATCAATTTTGGTTCAATTGATAACTAGACAGTGCTATTACTCTTCCAATATACATTAAATCTACAGAATGAATGAAACCCAAAATTGATATCTGGAATATCACCAAGTTTTTAACAAGTTTGCCGTTTTAAAGGGAGATGATTGTCAGTTTACATATGCAAAAGGTCATAATTTGCTGACACCAGACTTGGTGGAATGCCATGAATGGGAGTAAGTCTTTCATAATAGCAAACCCATAGCATCATCAAGAAATACCCCCTTGGTCTCTCATAGAGGCTGTTCACACCGCAATGAGATAGCGCGGTCTATCGTAGCACCCCCTTTTTTCTAGCGCGCGCTAGACCGCGCTATCTCTCGTGGACCACCCCCAAGAGTTGCCCTAGTGGCACGCCGTTTTGGCTCGCCGTGGCTCGCTGTTGGGCGGACCGAAACGACGTGGTACCTTCCAAACCGCAGAGATAGCGCGGTCTAGCGCGCGCTATCTCTGCCGGTGTGAACAGCCTCATAGAGTCTTTGGGTGAGTGAAATGTTTTAATTCTTTGGCACTCCAAGAAGTCTTTAAAGTTGGCTTTTTTTGATAATTTAATTTTCACCAGATATGGTGTAAACAGCCTTTTGGCATGTGAACTCTTAAGGTAATACAAAGTTTTGGAATTGGGTCATGAATTTGGTTCAAATGAACATATTAGAAGCATATGCGATCCTGCAATATTCAGTGATCGTTGTCGCGGTTGAAATCGAGTCTGAAGTTATGAAATTGTAAATAATACACCCTTTTTGTTTTGTAACTCCCTCTCAAGGTCAAGATATTAATTAAGCTATAAAACAATGTTTCTTGACTAAAATCGACCAATTTGCTATTCTCGTTTGGAAGTTATATATCACATCTACATATTCTGAGATTTTCATGGTCGCAGCTACCATTGTACGGCCATAGGCGCTATTTGAAATTTATCAAAATTTACCGGGAGCACCTGTAAATTTTTATATTCAATTTTTCTCGAAAGCAGAAGTGTTTTAGAGGCTATATATCCAAATTGTAAAGAATCACTATCCACCCAATTTTCAAATTTCCCAAAACTTTGTATTACCTTTAATGTAAATATGATGAAATAATTGTATGTTGATGTTGTAAATATGTAAATAAAGGAATTGAAATGTCCAAATCATTTGTAAGAAAAAAAAAATACTTTTGAACTTGCATCTTCCTTCACACTATCAAGCTTATAACTGTGCATGAAAAGTAACAACTGTAAAACAGAAAACAAACAAAAAACACTGGAAAGAAATTGTTGCTGTCGGTGAAGCATTTTGACTTTATTCTCGTGATTCATGAGACCAATCATTGTTCGATTTCCTGCACATATCTGGAATGAACTTCTTTATTACACTATCTTTCAAGTTTGTAGGCAAAGTCTTCCAGGGTTAAACCGTTTATTCTCTTTTTCTTTTTTTAAAAATAAAAGCCCTGAAAATGGCTGGGGTGCTCTGCTAAAAGCTCTTTATCATTCATAAAATTTCCTTTCGAGTCGTCTGATAGAACACTGGGAGTATTTACGCATAAAGACGGATATATTGATGCTAAAACTTGAGATGTAGCTTGTACATTTCACCCAAAAAATTATTTTTCGTTGTTTTTTAAAACTTTCACAATGTATAAAAGTCTTATATAAAATGTTGTACATGATACCCAAATATGTCCTCCATAAAACCCAAGGAAATCCAACAAATTATTTAATCGGCTGCCCGCGAGAATGTCCTTAGTGCCATTGACAATACATAGCTCAATAAGGCCTTCTTGCTGGTAACTGACGATTTCCCCCCTCTCTGAAAATTACAAACTTACAAAGTCTTTCTCCATGATATTAGCATTGCTTACATTTCCATCAATGATCACCACTTACCAACAACTGATCCAATATATACTGATTCAAAAAATGCATACAAACTTGTTGATATATGTGTCAAACTAATTCAAAAAAAGCTTACATTTACAAACGCGATTGGTAAAATATTAAAAGTACATTCTGTACCTACAAGGTCATACTTTTGATACAATATGACCCTATTATTACATGTAATGTACATGAAAGAGTGGATAATATAGAATCCCGGAGTATATGATTATTATTGCAACCTTTGTAGATAAATGAGGCAGAATGTACATGTACTTTAAGAAACTTTAAAGAGACGAAATATACAGACAGTTACCTGTGCATGAGAAACAAAATGCTAGAGAATGCAGTATGGTTAATTTGTCGAAAGCTGGAAAGGCATTAATTCTACTGTAATAATAATAATAATAGCTAGTTCTTATATAACGCTTTTCAAGACCAAAGGCCCTCTCAAAGCGCTTTACAGATATATATATTATTACCCCGGTCATAGGATTCAGGCTTACCTGCACACAATGTATGCACATTCTCCACTCCCTGGGGAGCATTCCAGCCAGGCGTCTTTTTTACGAGCGCACACTTGCTAATCTAACCACATTAGCTTTCGCATCCTACCGGGTACCCATTTAACACCTGGGTGGAGAGTGGCAAATGTAGATCAATGTATGTTCAAGTACACTAGCCAACGCCTTCAGGTTCTAAGCAGACGACATGTTAAGTTCATCTCTGGCCAGGGTTCTCGCTTGCACACACCATACTTGATTTTAGTATGGGGACTTTAGAAAGAGAACTGTCTAGGTATATACTCGACAAGCACACAAGAGAAATGAATATACATACAAAGGATCGCTCACATAGGGATATGATGAATGATAAATGATAAAGCATGATTTTTAAATTTGCATAATTTGTCTGTTGTTACTGTTAGCGCAATGGAATAAAACAAATGTAGAATGACTTGGGCCTAAACCGTAACAAAATAAAGTCAGGCCTAACTGACCTTAACATGAAACCTTAACAAAAGAAAGTCATTAAATCAATAAAAACTTATTTTGCAAGCTTTTTTTGAGTTTTGGGGAGATTCAATTTAGATCTAAATTAGAAGAGGTCTGGATCTTGTCCATATCAAGTACAGAAATTGAGGCTTTATGTGTGGTGCTTCCCGGCCCCTCTCGCTTCAGTTTCATCAACACAGCCTTAAACATACGTGTGCTCTCGAGAAATTGGAATTTGTTACAAATATCTAAAGTACAGTGATCCAAAAAGTGGCGTTGTATGCCACAGCGAAGGTACGTAACTCACCGTCAGTCTATGTACAGAAGAATAGAACTTAGTTTAGAACGATAACAGTTTGTCCAATTCTGGCGTAAAAATGTCTCCTAAATTGACTTTCTTGATCTGTGCAAACTTTTCCAACTTTGAGAAACCATACTTTAATTGAAATTTTCATGCTAGCCGCATCTGAATAATCCAACAATTTAGATAATTCTTCCTCTTACAGAAGTTGGAAAATCAAATCGCCACTGCGATTTCGCCATCTTGTTTTGGGTTTGCTCGTTTTCCTTAGTGGAGAAGAGAGAAAGTGCAAACAATCGGGATATCGGTGTTATCGATTCCAATATCGCATATATCGTGTTGATATCGCGTGCATCCAGTAAAAATAACTACACGTTAATTGACCAATCAGATTGCAGGGATTCTTCTAACCATCTTATAATAAGCAATGGGTTAATAGGAACATGTAGATAAAAGGAGAGATAGCTGACAGAGGACGTAAGATGCACAGACAACACGAACAAGAAGAAAGCTAGAAAATATAGACAGGAGAAAGAGAGAGAGAGAGAGAGAGCAGGAGGGAGAGGAGAACAGCATTATATCACTGGACCAAACACCTTACCTTACCTAACCCTAACCATAATCGTAAAGTTACCCTAAAACCCAAATTGCAACCCTAACCCTAAATAAAGCCTGGAGCAATTGTCACAAGTGCAAAAGCCTGATGATCAATCAGATGCATTTTATACCAGCAAACAGAAATACACTCTTTTATATCATAACAACTGAAAGCACCCATACTAGTCCACAAATATATTTTCATCCATTACAATAAGTTGTCACAGATTACATAAAACATCTGTATTTATAAAATAAAAATCATGCAAAACTATAAAGCAATCATCAATTCCCCAACATTGCATACTTAAACATTATTTTGTATTTTGATCTGTGGCTGCACATAAACCGAAACAATGACATTTCTATTCACGGCCTATAAAAGACAGCATTTATATTTCATACACGTGATTAAATGTACAAGCTTGGCTTTAGGCCTTCCTTAAATTTGACCCCCCCCCTCCCCCCCCCCCCCCCCCCCCCCCCCCCCCCCCCCTCCCCCCGAATAGGACCAACACCCAAACCCTTTAATAAATCTGAAGTGCTATAATGCTATAATTACCAAGAAACTATTATGTGGTGTAATTGCTTCCTTTCTGCTTTTTATAAAGTCAATAATGCATGGTTTACAATATAAAATATATTGAAACAATTATAAGAAGTGCATGCAATAGTTAACACGAATTCATATATATGTGTGTAAATTAATCTAAAGCATTGTTCATACAATGATTTACTCTAAATATCTTTACATAAAAGTGTGCATGCTTTGTTTGACTGATACACAGAACTAGAAATGACCAAAGAACCGAAAGGCTACTCCAAATTCGACTGAAAATTAGCTTATAAAATACACTTTATACATTTAAACTTACAACTCGTGATTTTCAAACACATAATAAATGTTTATTGAATTTATTCTCAACTATATGTTTTGTCATACTTAGTTTGTAATTCTACCTTAGCTGCATCAATATCAAACAATCCACCTAAACAAATATTTGGTCAACTTGTGCAATGCTATTATGTTTTCATTAAAAGTGAACATCAATATTTTTATTGTAGGTTTCAATGAGAAGTGTATGGTTCAAAGTAAATACACTTTTTCTAGAATTTAGTGATGAATCCGGAGATATATAATACAGTTAAACCTGCTTTAGTGACCACCTGTCTATAAAGACCACATTTTGTTTGATTTTCTTAAAACAATGTTTCTCAGTGACAAATTAGTTAAGGTAAAACTGTCTATAAAGACCACTTTTTGCGTCTTCCTTGGTTGATCTTTCTTAATACAGCTTCCACTTCAATACTGAACATGCACCTTATTATCTTACTTTTAAAATTCATAGCGTAATCTTAATACTGCACATTTATTCATCTACAGCTGATCTTAAAGGCAATACAAAGTTTTGGGGAATTTTGAAAAATTGGGTGGATAGTGATTCTATACAATTTTGATATATTTGGATGCCCCTGTATTACAAGCACTGGGAAATTTAGCCTCTAAAACACTGTCTGCTTTCAAGAAAAATTGAATATAACAATGCACCGGTAAATTTTCAAAAAATTCAAATATCGTGCACGGCCGTACAATGGTAGCTGCGACCATGAAAATCTCAGAATATGTAGTTGAGATATATAATTTCCCAACTGGAATAGCTAATCGGTCGATTTTAGTCAAGAAACATTGTTTTATAGCTCAATTAATACCTTGACCTTAAGAGGGAGCTATACAACACAAAGAGTTTATTATTTACAAATTCATAATTTTAGACTTGATTTTAACCGCGACAACGATCACTGAATATTGTAGGATCGCATATGCTTCCAATATGTTCATTTGAATGAAATTCATGACCCCATACCAAAACTGTGTATTACCTTTAATAAACAACTTAAAGACCAATTTACTTGATCAAATAATCCTAAGTCCAATAAAATTTGATATAACATTAAAATTTGATTTATACAATCGTGGATATATTTCCGGGCTAAGTCATCGATGGGGTTAGCCGTGCAAACCTTAATGATGTGCTGATTTGATTATTCTTAAATCTTTCTGCCTCTAAGCGCCCATAATATCGACATGGACTCGGTCCTTTCCGTTGCAGAAGACGAGCGACTGACTAGGTTCAGAGTCCACACTCCTCTTCACGAGACCACCTAGATAAACAAGTAGAACAGAGAGGGATACATGTAAGCAACTTTGTACTGGGGGGGGGGGGGGCTTTCTTGTAACACATCTCCATTTGACAAGGGACATTTTCTTGCCTTAAGTGGGACTGCACTACTTGCGCCTTCTATTTAGCCAATAATGCCTAAGTGGTACCTGTTGGTCCCCCATGGTCCTCTTTTTCTTATGTTACCGTATTTGCTGGTGATAAGGCCGTGGCAAATCCCGACCATGATGATTTTCCTTGCAGCTTTCTCTTGTGTATTGCACCATAGCTTTGCTCGCGCGAGCTGAGAGGGTTGAGGTTGCTTTAGCTATGGCAAAAACTTAAATCTAGGTCTACCAGTAGAGTTTGGCTGGCAAGTTATCAATTTTATTTAAGAGATTGACAAAACTTTGCCCTTCATTAAAAAAAATATAACACATAATTGTCAGTAAGACATGTGTTATTCTAGACAGTTATTCTAGAAATGTCCATCATATTTCATTGTTGTCCCATATGTACAAATTTGTGTTGTTTTTCATGGTTTTGACTTGCGTTTTTTTTTTTTTACTCTTTCGCCGCAAAGGCTGCATCCCGGCTTTTTGATATTTTCTCTTCCAAAAATACTGCAGCCTTTATGCCGGCACATACGGTAATTGAGAGCTGATTTGATGAGATAACCACCTGCCAGTGACCATGCAGGGAGGTCTAATCCCTCCTAGCCAAACTAGTGCAGAGAGGCTTAAATGAAACCTTGTTATATCAGGGTTAAAAATCAACAGTGTCTCATCCATCCATCTTTCTCTCTGTCTCTCTGTCTCTCTCTCTCTCTCTCTATATCTCTCTCTCTCTCTCTTCTGCTCTCTCTCCCCCTCTCTCTCTCCTGCTCTCCCTCTCCCCCTCCCTCCCTCTCCCTCCCTCCCTCCCTCCCTCTCCCTCTCCCCCTGTATCCCTCCCCCTCTCTCTCTTCCCCGTCCCTTCCTCCCTTGCTTACCTTCTTCAATGATCTGTGTGGAGTGAAGCCAGAAGGTTGAGATCTGAAAGCAATGAGTCTGGATGCTGGTAGCCACTACTGTCATGTTAATAGCAGGACCCTGGACCTGCATCTTAGCATAGATGGTCTTCAGCTGAGTCAGGTGGGCACCGTTCTGAGGATCACGAGTCATAATTAAATTTACAAACATATTCAACATTTATTTAAAGGAAATATTATGAAGGGCAAATGTTGAAAAGTATCACCTTTGGAAAAAAATGTTGATTACCAGTATGTTGTTGTTTTTTAAGTAAAATTAATTTTGTGATATAAGTATAATTCATGTGTTTTTCTTTGTAATTGATAAAGTTATGTGTTTTTCATGTATGTATTATGCAATTAATAAATGATGGAGAAAAAAAAAGGGAAAAAAAGAAGTCATAATTAGACTTATTGTCATTAAAACAGCAACACAACAACTACTATACATTCATAACTTTCATTATTTTGCTGAAGAACTATTATTTTTGCAATAAAACAAATTATATACCTCACTTAAGAAATCCAGCCATCTGATTGGTCGAATTGCATTCATAAACTTCAACTGTTCCTGTAAAATTCTCGGTAACCATGCATAAAACATTTCAATATTTTTAATAACCATGGTTATTAAAAAAAGTTGGTCAGCCTCCATGGTTACCCCATAGGTTTACATGTTAAAAAATGGTTTGAGCGATGGAGGATGCCGTATGTGTGCGAAGGATTGGTCGGTAATTTCAATACAATTGAATCTCGATCGATCTTACCGACAATTTTATCTTGCATTGTTGACATGAAGACGAAAATAAACTTCCAAAAACAAAAAAACAACATCTGCCGATAGATCTTGATCTAAGTTCGTGCCAATATGCATTGCAAAAGTAAAAGAAGAGTCCGTATATGGAGCTTTTGCGAAGCATTCATCACACGCGAAGCCGGTTTCAATCCATTTTAATGTATATTTTGGAGAAAACTGCCAAGCATGTTAACGGCGGGCCATAGCCGAGTGGTCTAAGCGTTGGTTTTCTGGACACCTCTTGTTGTACGCAAGGGTTCGAATCCCGTCTTCGACAAAATGATAAATATTTTTAATTTTTCATTTTTTAGTCTATTTTTTTTCGGCATATAAAAGTATTAATGACTGCTTTAATATTCGAGAAATAGTTGTTTTCATACGCTCTCGGGAAGGTTACAATTGGGCTATTCCCCTCGGCAAGCCTCGGGGAATAGCACAATTCTAACCTTCCCTTGAGCGTAATAAAACAACTATTTCTCTCAAAGCAGTCATTAATACTATAATATCACATTCAAATTTGGTTAAAGTGGTGTAGTCTCTCATGAATTCAAGCAGGTTAGATGTGAGCTCTCAAAGAGGGAGTTTGTATGATTCAAAACACCAGTAATTTTTTTTTTACCTACCCTGCAGTGTCTCATGAATTCCAGCAGGTTGGATTTTGTATGATTCAAAGCACCAGTAAAACAAAATGTAATTTCTTTTTTACCCACCCTGTAGTCTCTCATGAATTCAAGCAGGCTAGATGGGCTCTCAAAGAGGGAGTTTGTATGATTCAAAACACCAGTAAACTTTTTTTTAAATATTTGTTTTACCCACCATGTAGTCTCTCATGAATTCAAATTGGATGTGAACTCTCAAAGAGGGAGTTTGTATGATTCAAAACACCAGTAATTTTTTTTTTACCTACCCTGTAGTGTCTCATGAATTCCAGCAGGTTGGATTTTGTATGATTCAAAACACCAGTGAAACAAAATGTAATTTTTTTTTTACCCACCCTGTAGTCTCTCATGAATTCAAGCAGGCTAGATGGGCTCTCAAAGAGGGAGTTTGTATGATTCAAAACACCAGTAAACTTTTTTTTAAATATTTGTTTTACCCACCATGTAGTCTCTCATGAATTCAAATTGGATGTGAACTCTCAAAGAGGGAGTTTGTATGATTCAAAACACCAGTAATTTTTTTTTACCTACCCTGTAGTGTCTCATGAATTCCAGCAGGTTGGATTTTGTATGATTCAAAACACCAGTAAAACAAAATGTAATTTTTTTTTTACTCACCCTGTAGTCTCTCATGAATTCAAGCAGGTTGGACGGGCTTTCAAAGAGGGAGTTGGTATGATTCAAAACACCAGTAAAACAAAATGTAATTTTTTTTTTACCCACCCTGTAGTCTCTCATGAATTCAAGCAGGTTGGACGGGCTCTCAAAGAGGGAGTTTGTATGATTCAAAACACCAGTAAAACAAAATGTAATTTTTTTATTTACTCACCCTGTAGTCTCTCATGAATTCAAGCAGGTTGGACGGGCTCTCAAAGAGGGAGTTTGTATGATTCAAAACACCAGTAAAACAAAATGTAATTTTTTTTTTACCCACCCTGTAGTCTCTCATGAATTCAAGCAGGTTGGACGGGCTCTCAAAGAGGGAGTTTGTATGATTCATCAGGAAGCAGCGCTTGTCCTCGTTGTCGCGGAAAGCAGTCATGTGCTGAGTCACGAAAGAGAAAATAGATACGAACATTACAACCGAACACAGGTATACCATTTGTCTACCCGGTACACACTGTGCTGTTGAGAGTTAGATGTAGGTGTTGACTCTACTGAATCAAAGGGGCTCCGTGACAATTCTTTGAGTTCATAGAGTTGCTCATTTTAGACTTGGTTCACATGAAACATCTAAGTCAGTACATGGACCTATTACGGATGGTAGATATGATAGTGATGGTTATTTTACCTGATAGCTAAGAAAGCAATAAATGCTTGTTAGTAAGCAACCATTTGACGTGATTCTTTCTTTGATCCAATGAGAATCACCGCCTTCTGATTATGTGCATGGCAGGTGGTCTTTAAGTACAGGTTCCTTTATTACATGTTTTAATGAGAAACCATTTTAAAGGGAAACAAAAAAAAATGTGGTCTTTGGAGACAAGTGATCACTAAAGCAGGTTTGACTGTAGCTACAATGTACATTCATATTGCATAAATATCCAGAGGATGACCGGGGGTGCAATAACCTGGTTTTAGTTTTACAGTCAGACCTGCTTTACCGATCACCTGTACAGACAGACCACCTGTCTATAAAGACCTTATTGTTTGTTTTTCAAACTTTCTCTTGAAAAGTGTTTTCCATTGAACCGTGTATCAAAGAAACCTGTATGTATAGACCACCTGGTTATAAATGCCCCATTTTTTGTCCCCCTTGTGTAGTCTTCATATACAGGTTTTACTGGACACTGTAAGCTACAATGTACCCTACAGTGCTAAAAGCATTAGTGGAATTACTTCCGTTAGCTAACCTGTTACTCCCGTTTATTGCCATTTGGTCTATTGCTCATTTATTAGACCTTACAGATGGTAGAAGAAATGGGCATTAGACTAACTGGTTATTAGACTCGATGAACAATAGACCAAATGGGTAGAAGACTCATTGGAGATTAGACCATACCAAATGAATATTAGACTAAATAAACATTAGACTAAATGATAAGAAAACAAAATGATTATTGGACTACATGTATGTGGATAGTAAACGGGCTGGGTGTAGACCATACGGGAATAGACTAATTGGGTAGTAGACGAACTGATTGTAGACCACCTGGGTTGAGTGTGGCAATGTAGACTGAAAGCTACTCACGATGCTGAAGTCGGCCATGACGGTGATGTGATGGTTGCTGTTGAACTTGGGGATATCGATGGTCTCGATCTGCTTCTGTTCCTCGACTCCGATGGTCTCCTCGCAAGTCTCGTTGGTGAACTCGTAAGGAGGAAAGATCACCTTGCAGAACCCTGGGGTCATCGTCTAAGTGATAAAAAGACAGGGAGAATGATATGATTGAATATGATTGCACAAGGTACAGGGTTTGGGCATAGGGTGATCATATGCTCTGGGCATTATTTACTTTCATAACTTCATTTCATAATTTAGTTATTTCATTAATGCGCCCATCACAAGTCTTGATAGGGTCAGGGTAAAAGGTCAAAGGTCAAGCTGCAGAACACTGGAGACATCATCTTATTATGTTTTAGGTACCGCGGTAAAATAAAGCGGGACGTATGGACAAATGGCCATACATACAAATGGACGGACAACCTGAATACCTGAAAACATAATATCTCCGGCATCAACTTCAGTGGTGGAGGCACAACAACGACCAAAAAAAAAGGAACAATATCAAAAAACATGAAAAGAGAGGCATCTTGACCATGCTTGTCAAAACTCAGCCTAGTCAAAACCATGCAGTCCTGACTCAGGAGACTACAATTGACATCCCGAGCTCAATTCTCCTCTTTGTTTTCACTGTTGAACAAGAGTTTCTTACAGATGCACATTTCCATTAACATTTAAATGGCTACTTGGTATAATTGCAATTTTCATAATCAGACCTTCTTAACAGTTTAATAAATGTGCTCATCAAGGTGTGTAAGTTAAAAACTTTATGTTGGTAGAGTGTTAATTTTCCTTTAAAGCTCATCTACACTAGTGAACAGGAGGTATTAGACCACACAGCAAGGTCGCTGAACAGGTGGTTATCTCATCAACTCAGCTCTCAATTAACATAAGAAATAGAGGATCATGGGGGACCAATGGTCACCGATTATGCATTGTTTGTTATATAGAGGGCTATAAGAAGTAGCTATAAGAAGTGCAGTGGGCCTTTAAAGGTAATACAAAGTTTTGGTATGGGGTCATGAATTTGGTTCAAATGAACATATTGGAATTATATGCGATCCTACAATATTCAGTGATCGTTGTCGCGGTTGAAATCGAGTCTTAAGTTATGAAGTTGTAATTAATAAACTCTTTATGTTGTATAGCTCCCTCTCAAGGTCGAGACATTAATCAAGCTATAAAACAATGTTTCTTGACTAAAATCGACCGATTAGGTATTCCCGTTTGGAAATTATATATCACAACTACATATTCTGAGATTTTCATGGTCGCAGCTACCATTGTACGGCCGTAGGCGCTATTCGAAATTTATCAAAATTTACCGGGAGCACCGATAAATTTTTAAATTCAGTTTTTCTCAAAAGCAGAAGTGTTTTAGGGGCTAAATTTTCTAGGGCTTATAATACATGCACAGGAGCATCAAAATATATCAAAATTGTAACGAATCACTATCCACCCAATTTTCAAAATTTCCCAAAACTTTGTATTACCTTTAATCTGATGTAACTATATTTTCATTATATTTACACGTAATTGATGGTTTATATGAAAATCTTGGACAATAAAAGAGTGTCAACTTTCTTTTTTTGCTGAGTGTATATAAAATATATAAAATCATCAATCAGAATTCACACACCGACATAAAAATCTGACATGGCCTTGACTGTAAAGACAAACTTTAGAATGTGGCAAAATGAAAAAAAAAAGGTTTTGCTTTTGTTCCTCTTACAGACAAAACCAATACAAAAGACGGACAATAACAATGGTGATTAAGAGCTCTGTTTGGATTGTGTAAATAGACCAAATGTAGACAAACATTGGGCAATTTGGGCTCATCATCATTTAAATAATGAGACAGAGAGATCAAGCAGATAGGAAGGTCACAAGGTGGTGTGTTGTACAGTACATGTACATGCATGTGATGACCCCATCAGAGTAGAACTTTGCAAGGGCTTTTATCATTCATTTCCTTTCTGTCAATTTGTTATCTGGGCATAATAGAGTACCGAAGCTGTGACATCACAAAAATCTATTTTTAGAATTTCTCAATTTTTTCTTCATTTTCCAAAAGAGGATCAAAAATAATGTCCGAATGTCGAAAACTGATTGAATTTGTTAAGTATTGGCTGAGATATGACCATCTGAATATGTCCTATGGGAACTCAGTGTTATAGTGCTCTGGTTCCTAATGTTATGAACCAGAGCACTATAACACTGAGTTTCCATTGGACATCTATTTATTCAGATGGTCATATCTCAGCCAATACTTAATATATTCAATTCGTTTTAGACATTTGGACATTATTTTTGATGCTCTTTCAGAAAATGAAGAAAAAATTTAGAAATTCTAAAAATAGATTTTTGATGACGTCACACTTCACCACTCTTTGCATTCCAAGCCATTGGCCAAAGAATTTAATTAATAGTGGCTCGTTGTTAAATTATCACTGAGCAATGCCTTTTTAGGAAGGAAGGGAAGGGGGGGGGGGGGGAACAAAGAACCCCCAGCTCCAAGATTTTTTTTTAAATGATAATATTCAATCCAATTAAATTCATGTATACAGCATAAAGCTGAATTAATATCCACTTGGGGGCCGTTTCTCAAAACCGTCATAACTACAAGATCAACGACATCTCGCCACTGTCACGCAACTTGTCAGCTAAGTGTTTCACGAAGCCGTCTTTGCCAAGATGAGCGACAACTTCCGTGACAAGCGAGTTGTCACTGCTCCGAACCTGTCATATCTTTTTAATTGCTGTAAAGCGCCATCACAAGTCAGTTTGTTGCCATTCCATGGGCCGCGAAATGGACGATTAGTTTCACTATCATTTTGAGAAAAATATAGACGAGTTCGGTACGTAATTCTCTGGGATGCGAAATGCAAATGTACAAAAGTGAGAATACAAATTATACAGAAACTTTAAAAAGCTGAATGTAAACATTAAATCACAAATCATTAAACTACAGTATAACATATACATGTAAATAAGAGAGGTAAGGATGTTACACACCGTTTTCCATAGTCGATCCATAGTCTTTTCTTAGGATACCGTCATACCTTTGGGGCCTACGTGCATTATTATTCCCTCTCTATTAAATTACTTCTTCCAAATTATATTTTCAATATCAAATCAATTATATAACGAGTATTTATGAGACTCTAGAATAAAAACTGGCTGAGAAAAGACATTTTGCCTAAAATTCCTCGTCACAATAAACAAAAAGTACGTATTGATAAACTATCACATTACGGTATCCTTCAACTAACTTTTGATTCGACCGTCGAAAAAAAACACTCATCGGTTTTTCTTCAATTTAAGAATCTTTACAGAAATATGCAAATCGTTTGATGATGTAAATATGATAATGACACTATTTATTATTTATTTTAGGAGAATTTATATGTATATATTTCTTTTTGAACAATTTTAGCCCCAAAACTTGTTTTGGGTTATTCTTGATAAATCAAATGGATCCTGACAAAGACTATGTTCTTGAGCTGCTAGTATCGCGATATATCGATATCATGTCTGTCATGGCTTTGTGAAACGGTTTATCCGCTTCATGACATCTCCGTAGGTCGCCGACAAAGATATGACTGTCATGGAGTTGGTTTCGAGAAACGGCCCCCTGGAGGAACCTAATAATCAGATTGGTCATAGCCGTGTACTTGTCCTATACAAAACTGCAGCCAACAGACATCATCTGTACTGTACATTTTTTATTTTGCAGATCTATACTTGCATGACCAAAATATCTGTATTATGTACATGTACATGTAGGACCTACATATGTAACACATTTCTGAATCTACATGCAATGTAACATGTTAATTATATGCATGTACTGCATGTACGGTACATTTGTAATTTAACACTACCGTATACATTACACTGTTTTCACGAGATGAAAGACATTTATTCATGGCAATGCAGATAATATCTTGACTACCGTACATTGTAACAAAATTAGAATGTGCTACCAGCCTACTAATTACATCAATATTGCAGTTGTTATTACAAGATAAAAATCATCAAATTGCATCGTTAGTTTTATGGTAATGAAGATCTCTGTAATGTAACACAATTTTTATAAATGTAATGCTTCCTGGGAGAAATTTCTATCATTTAAACATATTTGTGGCTTACACCCAGTAAATAAGATCAATTGATCGATCTATAATTGAAAAACAAGTCAGAAAAAATCTTGGAACCAGCGGGACTTGAACCTGCATCTACTGCTGTGTTACTTTTACATGTACATTAATATTGCAGTTGTTATTACAATACAAAAATCGTCAAATTGCATTGTTTGTTTTATGGTAATGAAGATCTGCAAAGATATCTAGGTAGTAGCACACTATAACTACATGTAGGTACTTACAATGTAACACAATGCATCGTAAGTACCCAGTCCTAGTGTGCTACTATATCTATATTAATATTGCAGCTGTATTTTTACTTATTGATGTCACCTGTTCTGTATCAAGTTTCTCAGTTTCACCATGTGATCAGTGGAGTTGTAAATACATTTTATATGCAAGGAGATCTTTGAAAAACAACTCCTTAGTAGTATACATGTATCTATACCTGCATGATAATGATAAAGTTGAGTACTGGTCATGTGATTGCATTGTAAAAAAGGTGTGGAATGGATCAGAAGAAGTAGATCATGTAGCATATAAGTATTGGTGTGTAATACAAGGTTCAAAATCATAATAAATTTAGCCCAGTCTTGGTAAATTAACAAGCACTGTACACAGAAAGATGTACCTGTATATGGGACTACACAAACAGTGTTGGGGCTAGTACTAACCTTGATATCCTTATCTTTCTGTGCTCATTACTCAGCCAGTATACATTTTCTACCAAAATTGTTTGGCAAATGACATTTATTTGTAATCTTGAACATTCACTCTAAGTTTCGTTTGATTCTGTGAGAATTCATTTTCTTTTTTACCAGAACTCAAGTTTATCTTTAAGTATAGTTTCGTCACTATTGTGACCTGTAAGATGCACTTATTTCCTTCACAAATGTACAGGTAGTATTGTATTGTATGTAAATCCTGCCTATTGTTATTGCAGGAAGCAGTTTGCTACAATCAACTTTTGTATACATGTACACATAGATATTTACTGTAGTTAAGAAGGTCATACTAAAAGATTGAATATTTCATTCAGACTTGTAAGACTTGTACATTACGATACCGGGTACTCAAAATATGGATGGCAAAATCAATTTTATGTACAAGTTTCTTTCGTGAAACATTTATCATGCAAAAAAAGAAGTTAACGACCCAAATTCAAATTCAAATTCAAATTTATATTCATATTTATATTTACATTCAAATTCAAATCGAAATCTAAATCTAAATTAAAATTGAAATTAAAAAGCCTGTTGATATCTGAACATGTACATGTACAGATAGATGTACATTTGTATTGTCCAAGTCCAAGTCCAATACACATATACATAGAGTCACAGGTTATGAGAATATGAGCTTCCTTCTTCCTCATGCCAATCATATTTTTAGATTCTTAATGGCATCTCATTTACCATGTCAATGACATTAACACCTACTTTCATTTCCACTTAAAGATAAAGTCCAGTTATGGTCATGCGATTGCATTGTGATAGAAACGTTGTGGAATCGATCAGAAAAGGTTGATCATCTAGCATATAAGTATAAGTATTGGTGTGTACTGCAATCATCAAAATGATAAGAAATTTGGCCCGGTCTTGTAAAGTTACAAGCACTGTACACAGAAAAATGTATATTGGACTACGCACACGTGTGTATTATCTATTTGGTCCAAATAGATAAACTGATTTACCAAATACATCAATTAGTAGGCTTTTTCCCGGCAAATTTGTTATCATCATGTATTAGTCAAAACATAATCTTTCACATGATTGGTAATAAGAGCTTCCATTTCATTTTTTGAGAGGGGGGCGTTTCCAAAACTGGTCTTTACCTTTAAGGGGAAGTCTGCCCGATACTGATAGTAAGTTGGTTTTAATATAGGCGGAAATATGAGAGAACAAATAAGTGAAAGTTTGAGCAATATGATATATCCAATTTATAAAAGGAAAGTTACAAATTGTTGAAGTTGTCATCAGTGAAACAAAAATTGGCAACAGTGAATGTTTCTAGCGAAGTCCTCTCCGATTCACTCTGTACAGAAAATTTCATAAAACTTTCATTTTCTTAGTTATTGATGATGGAATAGATTTGTTTCATACAGGGATCGTATAAAAACATATTTGCAATAATTGAATTTAGGATGAATGTATGATAGGGAAAATATAATATAATTCTTTTTTTTGGGGGGGGGGGGGTCGCAAGATACATGTACGTCACATGTACGCCAATGTGTGTTTGATTGATTGCACCTTCAACAATTCAAGACTTCCTTATTCTACCAGTAATCTGTTATTGCTCAAACATTCACTGGCCTGTTTCTGTCATTTTTCTACTTTTCTACTATTTATACTGTCTTAATATCTTGGTGGTCTTCCCCTTTAGGTGCACCGAAAGCAATTTTGACCAAAAAATAAAACAACAACAGCTAGGTGCCAAAGATGATTTGCCCTTTGTGCTCTTTATAGAAAAAAACACTTTAAATGAAAGAAAAAATACTTAAAATGAAAGAAGAAAAAAAGATCTATCATCAAAATATTTCTGTAAAAGGATTGTAAAGCATAATACATGTACCTCTGAAATATAAGTTCGAAAATCTCTAAATTACAAAATCTGAATTTGAATTTATACCATCCTAGATATGCATACATGTTTTTCCTTGATTTATTTATTTTTTTTGCTCACTGAATTATAATCTTTAAGAGAGGGCTCGGCAAATAACACCCACGATATATGAACAGGGGTCTATGGCACTTTCACTCATATTAGACCCAACGTAAATTCTTTTTTTAAATAGAGAAGAGCTCAGTCTATGGCTTCACTGACACAAGAATATATATACAATATCTAACTTCTATTGACCAGCAGTAAATAGCAGAAAACAAAAATAAAAATGGATATAAAAAGCTTTGAATGTTTTATTAATGATTTTTTAATAGAAATTTTTGACTCACCGATCGAGTGGCCACATACAGCAACCCTGCCAGGACGATGCACAGCCCCACGGTCACTGTGCAGATGGCAGCCAGCGCCCAGGTACTGCAGGGCCTGGCCTGCCGGCGCACAACCCTTACTGCACTCCCAGCCTCGCAGTCACACTCAAATTGGCAATTTCCTTCTCTGCACTCAGGGCCTGTACAATCTCTGCATTGCTGTTGGGAGTTTTCATACAGTAAGAGTCAAATTAGTACATTCAAATATTGTGAAAATAAGGAGGGGGGGGGGGGGGCAGTACATCATGTGTCATTAAAAGCAATTAAAATCATATAATGCACAAAATCAATTTTATTTTAAGAACGAAAGTCAAATTAAAGGCATCAGCTCTACTTACTTCTTACGTCATTTTAAAATAAGAAAAAAATAAATGGTTGAGCTAAATAAAAAGTATTTTTCCTTATAAGTTATATATGGTTCTGTGGGAGAGAAAAGGGAGGGGCAAGGCCAGGGTTTACTCCCCCCCCCCCCCCCCCCTTGAAGTTTTAGAAAATTTGAATTTACCTTACACTCATTTAAATGAAGCATAAAGTTTTAAAAAATATCCTGTTTAATCATTTTTTTAAAAATATTCTTCTTACAAACAAGCCAGGCTAAAAATACGCCATTTGCTCAAAATTGCTGCCTGAATATGCATGAAAATTGATGAATCAAAGAAAAAGAGAACTTCTCAACCTTGTGCATATTCAGAAATTTTGAGTGAACAGTGCTCTATAACATGAATATTCATATTTGTTGCGCTACTACCGTGCATGTGTTCTTTCTCTTTGCCATGTTGATTTGCCAATCGACGATGCAACAGGATGAACAGGGTTAAGACGAAGAATCACCCTTTTTCCCATCAAAGACTTCTTTAAATTATAATTTTAAGTGGATGGACGGATGGACAGATGTCCAGAGGCTACAACAAACATTGTAAGTCAAAATTGTAATTTACTAGGCCCTACTTATTTATATTTCGAAAAAATGTGACCCACCCCGCTGTTTGAATCATTTTCATTAGCGGGCTCTGGAGTAGGCACTTCAGTCACCAACACATTTGCTCGGACAACTCTCACTCACCGCGCGATGCTCCCACGCCCATTCACATACACACAGATCGCATGCACACTCAATGTGAATCCATTAGCATCGAGAACATCCGACCTCCGGCGAGACTTACGACTAACTTTCGGAAGCCGTCGGATATGAATGCTTGTCTTCTTGCTTTTGTACGCTGATTGTGATTGGTCGAACACATAAATTATGATGTCAATTTCGATCGTATATCTTCGTTAAAGATCGTGACTTTGTTTGGTGGAAATCGCCTGTGCGGTTTGAAAGTTACGCGACATACAAGGAAGATTTCGCCGGCAACATTAACAAATATTTGTCTGAGCTCACTCAAACTTTGTGGGTATAAAAATATGATATCATACCATAATTGCTGAAGGTTTGACAATGTTTCAGTAAGTCAAAGCGATCGTTTGGTCACTTTTCCTAGCCATGTTTTGATACTTTTTTTAGAGTGTAGGCAAGTTGTTGATCACAGACGGGACGAAAATCTGTGAATTTTCATAATTAGTACTTTATTTCTTAATTATCTGTTGATGATTTATATTAGTGCTGTAGTCAAACGTTTAACCGTCCGGTATCCGACCGCCCATGGCGGATTCCACTTTCAATTGGACGGTTTCGTTTTCCCGTTTTTTTTAAATTTTTGTATTATTTATTTCTTTTAAGTTTCGATTTATGCCCCTCCACCTGGCACTATGCCTGGCAATGTCTCCCAGCTCAGTAATCGGTGTGATGACTTACCACTTGGAAAATAAAACAACACTCCAATTTGTCTGTCATCTTGGTTTGAAAGTAATCTTTGTAATAGATCTCAATATATATTCATCCAAGTTTAACACAAGGTTCTATCCTAGGTCCTCTACTGTTTTTAATTTACATTAATGATCTTACACATTATTCTAAAACGACGTTGTTACTATTATTTTTGACTAGTTCACAAGCACAAATCGGCGCCTTCAGTTAAATCACCTCGCAGTCCTTCCCGCTTTTTCACACGGCCAAAAAAAAAAAAAAAAAAAAATTCTAATTTTTTATAAATCGTTTAACCCTAATAAGGCCCCCCCCCCCCCTCCACGATTTTTCCAATTGCTTAGGAATGCATATGGATGGCGCCCCGCCGCTCGCTGACTTTTTTCTTTCGAGTCTTGCGCAACTTTTAAAATAATTTTTTTGAAAATCGGACCTACGGTTACAAGGTCACGTGACCTTTTGTCTTTGCATGTCAGCCCGAAAATCGCTCATTTTCGTGATTTGTGTACAAATTACAAAACATATATGGAAAAGTCATTTTTCCTAAAAACAGACCAAACATGGGTTATTGGGTCTTTTTTAAAGTTTAGGTGGTTGTTTTAGGAGTCAAAATATTTGAATTGTAGTAAGAAATGAAATAAAACAACAAAAACAATGAAATACATAAGAAATTATCAAAACAAGGGATAACATAAGGAATAAGCTGGCTCTTCCAAAAAAAATTGTCGTATTATTATTCAGAATGGTCTAATGAATATATGTAGTGAAAAAGAATGCTTAAATATGAATAACATATGATTTATGGGTAAAAATTTGATTTTTATGACTTTATTTGCATAAATTACCATAAATATGCAAATGAGTGAATTTTTCAAAAAATTGAAATTATCATATTATTCTATACGCTTCACTTGACATGCGTGCAAATTTTCGCAGCGATCGGCCGCTTCGCGGCCGAGATGTTAATAATATATTTTGATTATATTTGGATAATTATTTCCATCGATTAGTAATATGTTATTGATTTAGGTCTATATAATGTATTAATTACAACATGTTTTCATGCAACTGTCTCAAAACACCTCACAATCACTCATTCACTAAAACAATTTGCTATCATGCAAATACAGTACAACAAATATGCTCCATAGGTCATGTATTGTAGCAGTGCCATCGCCAAAACAAAAAAATAATAAGATTACGTAATACCTTTTTGTCTTCAATTTCAGCTAAATGCGCTTCACAAAATTGGTGATAGTCTAACTCGGCTTTACCTTAACCATGTTAACCAATTTTAAAAATTCAAAGTTTAATGTTGCTTCTAGACTAAAGGATTGCTTCTTCTGCCAAACCTCATTTAAAGCTGATTAGGTATTAAAATCATTTTCACCTGAAGTGCCTATCTGGAGCTGGCTCGGACGCCTTCGGAATCGGCGTCGGAGCTCCCTGACCCTGGGGCTCGTTCCTAGAAACCGTCATAGTCTAGGAACGGGCCCCTGGAATCTGTGCGGCTTTACACTGCACTGCATTGACGTACATACACAGCTACTTGTACACGACACTCGATTCAACTGCGCAATATTCAGCTGCACTCCAGCTGCACGCGAACCCGTAAACAAAAATGGGAATCACTCTTCGTACACACACGGCACTCAAATCTTATTAAATTGTATAATTTCTTACCTCAAGTGGCTGTGATGATGCTTTGGATGCATCTTCAACAATTTTTGGAGAGTAAATTCGCGCTTCGGTCTTGTAGATCGTCATTTTGTATGATGTTCAGTTGCGGATATTCAGTTAGTGTAATTCTACTGATTACGTGATTGAGCTGAATGTAGAAGTCTACTTCTAGAAAGAAAAATAAGAAGTTTGCTTAGTATGGTAACCCCAAAGTAAAATAATGAAACGAAGTGAAATAAGGAAGAAGACAAATTCTTCAAACCCCACCCCAATCATCTTGATTATAAATACATTTAAGCGAGGAACATGTATAAAAAGAATTAAAGAACCCCCAATCCCCCCTCTCCAATGAAAATAAAAGGACTAAAGATATTTTTTGAGAACCGCCGCGCACCTGCAGAAAAGACAATAAAGTGTGATTATCAAACGATGGCTCATTCTGAAAGAAGGAAAATGTCGTGAAGAAGAAGAAACACTGGGAAACTTCAATTTTTAAATTAAATTTCATTCCACCTGTCAAAAAGGAATACTCATTATATTGATCAATGCGCATCCATGCAAAGATCATCTCATCTTAATACAGAACTTCATCAAACGGCATAAGTGGAAAGGAACATAATTATCAGCATATATTATTTGATATTTTCATTCATTCTTTGCCAATGGAAGCGACATGGTTTTGTCCAAGCCATGTCAGTTTTTTCTCTTTTTTTCAAGTCTCGAAACGTTTTTATCCCAATCCTAGTATTACCAGTCAATCAAACTTACAAGTTGAGTCTACACTATTTCAATAAAAATTATATTAGTCCCATGCAGGGGCGTACGCAGGGGGGGGGGGGGGGTTGGGGGTTCAAACCCCCCCCCCTTTGGTATTTTTATGTATGTAAACCCCCTAAAAAAAACCTAACCCCCCCCCCTTTGGTTTTTTTTAAATTTTTATTATTAAAAAAAAATTAAAAAAATTATAGCCACGGCTAACCTAAATAAGGTGACCTCACCCCCCCCCAAACGAAGAAAAATGTCAAATTTTGAAATTTCGAGACAAAAAAAAAAAAAAAAAAAGTGTCCGCTTTTTACATACGAAAAGTGCCCCTCTAACATTATAAAAATGCCCCTCTTCCTTTTCACCTCAGAAAAGTGCCCCTTTCTTGACATGTGCCCCTTTTCCTTCGATTTTTTTTCCTTTTTTTCCTTTGCAATAATTGTTCCATTCTCATAAGTGCCTTTATTAATCTCAAGTGTCCCGTTTCAGGTACGAGAAGTGCTCCTTTTCACTTTTGATTAGTGCCCCCTTCACCTCTGATAACTACCCTTGTCAAATCTGAGAGGTGCCCCATTTACCTGGACAAGTGCCCCTTTCCCTTTGTAAGAAGTGCCCCTTCCCCTTTTAATAATTACCCCCTTTTTAACTCAGATAAGCGTACCTTTAATTTTATCATGTGCCCCTTTTCCTTTCTAATAAGTGCCCCTTTTCCTTATAAGTGCCCCTATTAAAAAAATAAGAGCGCCTTTCACCTATGAAAAGTGTCCCTTTTCATTCTTATAAATGCCCCTTTTCATCTATGGTAAATGACCATTTTCAGCT